AAACAAATGAAATGCTTATGCCATTCCTGTACGTGAGAATTGTAGACAACTAACCATTAGATAATTCTAAATCATTTTTGGTTTAATCTTTGTTTTTATATGCCTGAATATAACACTACAAGTGAGTTTAGTTTTACGCCGCCTTTAGCAATATTCCAGCAATATCACGGCGGGGGACACCAGAAATGGGCTTCACACATTGTGTCCCCGTTGGGAATCGAACCCAGGTCTTCGGCGTGACGAGCGAACGCTTTAACCACTAGGCTACCCCACCGCCCCGAATGGTACATAGACCTGGAGAGTCATGTAGAACTGATAATCATATAATGCAATGAACACAACTCTATTGGTATAATGGAGACAAATTGCAAATCCAGATCAATATCTTTTAACCTTTTCCTATCAATGTGAAATTGGCTGCAGCAAGTACATACCATGTAACAACCGAACCTTGTAATGTGTGCAGGTACAATGTCAACGTATTTAATACATTAGGTACTTTTCTAACTGATAAAACACATAGCCATGGCAAATGTAGGTGCATTATGGCTGGATAAATGTTCTCGACCATAAACTGACTATAACATGTGCCAGTGCATGAACTAAACTGACTGAGCTTGTCAACATCATATGTGAATGAAAAAATATGGTATATTTCAATTTTTTTAACTCCAAGGTATTGACAGAACAAAACATTTAGAATGTCGTTGGTTCTGTCCCAAAATACGTTGCCAGGGATGTTAGACACTGAATGGGGGTCTATAAGTGAGTTCGAATAGGTAGTTAGTGTGGCAGGCGTTGTTTCTCAAAGTCAGTGTCTCTTCGAGACTCGTCAGGATTCGGGAAAGTACAGGGCCTAGATTTTCGAAGCTCTCTTAACGCTAAGATAGTCGTAAGTGCCATACATTAACATTAACTTACGAATATCTTAGCACAAAGAGAGCTTCGAAAATCTATAGGCCCTGGTCTTCAGCAACCCAGGCTTGTCCTAGGAGGTGACGAAAGGTATAGTATAGCTGGCATATTGCTGACAGTAGCGTTAAAAACGAACAAATGCCACAAAGTAAACATCTTATAATCAATAACCTTATTGGTGTATTCAAACATGGTCGTGAAATGAATATGCCGGATGATTTGTACTGTCGCAGATTCATATATGACTCATAAATACCCATGACAAGGTGCATAACGGACTGAGGCTAGAAAGCTCCTGCACCATGTCCTGTGCTTGAGTTGCACGAACCAGCATGTGAATCGGTGGTTGCAACAAAGCTACAAATTGAGGTCCCCCAACCCCCGTACCACCCAGGGGTCGCAACAACCGTGGTAACCTGACCATTAACCACGCGGTTATTACTCGACTCGTGAGGACTTGAGCGAAGTAAAGACGTAGAGTACACCAATCGACCCCATCGAGGCATGATGACAATCAGTCAAAAGAAACTCTGGGCCAACCACAAGCTACCCACTGTGCAAGCGCCCAGTCATACAATTATTACCTCAAACGAACAAAGACTTAGACTGACTGACAGCAGACTAGCTTCTTTCAAATGTTTACAATATGTTTAAAGGTTATGTCGCGCATATTTGATGTACATGGTTTGATATTTTAATCTCGTACAGTTGTCAGTGAAATGCGCCACCGATTCACGTTGTGTGTTTGGGGGCGGTAGGGTGGCCTGGTCGTCAAAGCGTTCGCTCGTCACGCCGAATACCCGGGTTCGAATCCCCATATGGGTACAACGCGTGAAGCCCATTTCTGGTGTCGTGATATTGCTGGAATATTGCTAATAGCGATGCAAGATGCCGATAAATGACTATTGGGTTCAAATACGTACTTGAAATGCACTTTTTGTGACCTCTCTTTTCGCGAGGTCAGAAATGTCCTGGAAAACGTTATAAATGAGCAGAAAACGATGTCCTTGATTCCTGTATAATTTTTTACTTAATGAACTATCAGCAGGCGAACGGATTAATGCATATGCTATGCTGTGAATAGTGCTTTTAAAAAATCAAGTACAATACATGTTCTGCCAAAAGGAATTATCAATAAAAAAATTACGAGAACAAAGATTGGATAGATTGTCCTAATGCTCCTGTTGAAACATTCCACTATAACGGTATACTATCTGTATTAAACGTGTCTGTGGGCATTCTTAGAGAGAGAGAGTGTGTGAATGTAGCGCCGCTTTTAACAGCGTTCTGGTTTATCACGGTGTGTCAGGACATTCTTGGACGAACATGGGCTCACACTCTTTTCGCTATTTTACGCCGTGCTCAGCAATTGTGCAGCTATATGGCGGCGGTGGGTAAATAATCGAGTCTGGATCTGGCAATCCAATGGATGACATTATGAGCATCGATCTTTGCTGTTGGTATGGGATGACATGCACAAACCAAACATGTAACACACGGTACCGTTTTCTTAAAAGTATGGGTTGCTAGAGACTAATTCAATCCCGATTTTTCACCGGTATACCTTTTTGCTCCCGAAAGCCACCAGACTGATCATCGGGTGCTGTTTGCTTCCAATTCAGGGATATGTATATTTGTTTGTTGTTTAACGCCACACCCAGCACTATTCCAGCTATATGGCGGCTGTCTATAAATAATCGAGTCTGGGCCAGACAATCCAGTGATCAACAGCATGGACATCGATCTACGCAATTGATCACGATAACATGTGAACCAAGTCAGCGCGTCTCACCACCCGATCCCGTTAGTCGCCTCGTGCAACAAGTATGGGTTGCTGAAAACCAGTTCTCAACTTATGTGTGAGTTAGTTTAGTTTTACGCCGCACTCACGCAGCAATATTTCAGCTGTATGGCGGCGGTCTGTAAATAATCGAGTCTGGAGCAGACAATCCCGTGATCTCTCATCTGATGAGTGATTTGGAGTCGAAAACAAGTATTTTTCAGGATGAATGGGTGAATGTTCCTTACTGGTACTTCAGTAATATCATATTGCATGATGTTGGGTTTTTGTTTGATACCACACTGGCAATGGTCATGCTCTTCAAATCTAGTGATTTGTTTGTTGCATCTTTACCTGTCGGGAACCAGTACACCTTGCTGCCCCCAAAAGGCACCTGAATGATCGTCGGATGCTGAGAATGTGTCACCTTGATTATCTTAAAACTGGTTTGTAACGGTCCAGGGCCCCGTTTGACAACGCTCTCGTAAGCCTAAGAACTCATAACTTTTCTCGTAGCATTAGTACCTCATATGTTACAGTATAGGAGGCACGAATGCTACGAGAAAAGTTACGAGAACTTAGGCTTACGAGAGGGTTGTGAAACGGGGCCCTGGGTCCCGATCCACAAAGCGTTCGTAGCGCTACGACATCCGTAAGTCTATGATAAACTATAGAGTTACGACAGGTCGTAACGTTACGAATGCTTTGTGGATCGCGGCCCTGGTCTAACAACGTTTATCTGATGTCATAGTCACATTGCATTCACACACCCAAGTTCAAGTGCATAACATATTTTTTTCACAACGTTTATCTGATGTCATAGTCACATTGCATTCACACACCCAAGTTCAAGTGCATAACATATTTTTTTCACATAGAAGACCCAAGTGGTATTTGCTTCCAATCTTGTGAGGGATTTCCTGTTGAAGCATTTTCAGGATGAATGGGTGAATGTTCCTTAGTGGTATTTCAGCAATATCAGGCCGGCCTGTAATCAATTGTACGCAAATTAGTTACTTGTATGGTGTTTGTTTTGTTCAAGTCGCACTCGGCTATGCTCATGCTATATGACCGCAGTTACAAAAGCTAAGTCTTTCGGTGAATGACATCATCATCGATCTATATGACAATGACATGTTACTAAAAAGCTAGGCAAGTCTTAGGACAAGAGTGGTTGCGCAAGACCTATCGTAACCTCGATCTTCACGGGAATGACATCATGAAGAGCATCGATCTACGTTACGATCACTCTCCCGATAGAGGATACAATAACCAGATGCTATTAAGATTGCTGCCTCCGAAATTGGTACTTTCAAAGACCTCAACACTTGATTGTAAATGCAGTCATTCCACGATTCCCAGGCAAACTCCTATTTGAAAAGCTTGTTCTGAGATACCATGCCCCAGTGCCACAATAAGCATGAATACCGCACTCAGACACATTATACTGACTCTGAGATACCATGCCGACCAGAATCCTTGTTTTACCCACTAATGCTGAGCGCCAGGCTGGGACCAACAAGTACCATATTTTAACGTCTTTTGGTATGACGCGGCCATGTAGCGAACCCGTGACCTTCAATTCTCCAGGCGGACGCTCTAACCACAACACTATGGAGGCAGTCACAATAACAATGAAATGAAAACTAATTATGCACTTGCACAAAAACCATGAGCAAGACAGGTAGATGATAGCCAAAGGATCGTAAACCGGGGATGTCCAAGAAATGACCAAAGGATCCTGGCAGCCCAGAGGCACTGATTCTGTTTGGAGCAGTTGTGCTTTCGATTGCTGGCCAGCCATACTTCCTTCTGTGAAAAAGGATATTGTTCCTTGTGTAGGTGGATCAATAAGAGATTTAGGAACTTTGAACAGTAGTTCAGTTTTATCGCGTGGTGTTAGTTTAATCCCTTTGTGGCTTTTTCCTAACATTAAACTACAGCCTCAAAGATGTCGAAAATATCAATAAAACCAATGAGCATGGGTTAGTTGCTAATAAACATAAACGTAATCATAATCGGGGCAAATCTTGGTTTCTATCTGATGAGTGTATTTTTATGCCGCTTTTTGCAATATTCCAGCAATATCACGACAATGGACACCAGAAATGGGCTTTACACATTGTACCCATGTGGGGAATTGAACCCATGTTTTCCTTGTGACCAGCAAAGGCTTTAACCACTAAGCTACCCCACCACCCCTCTATCCGATGAATGGCCACTTGTGCCCCAATGTAACTTCAAGCAACAGGTGTAGGTACTTACAGACCTTCCCCACACACACACATAAAAAGGGAGACAAACAAAATGTTTTCTTGTTTATTTCGTAGCACTGACAATGATCTAAATGAGCCTGGGTAAATCAACAGAAAGGCGTTCTGAGCACTCTATATACCCGCCTCAAAACCTGTTTACGTAGTAGAAGGAATATAAAGTGACCACAATAAAACTATACCTCTTATTGCATACAAGTCTCATATAGGGGTTGTTCAAGTATTTAGGCCCTGATATTTCATTCCACAGTCATATTACTGAGTCACCACTTTCAACGATTCAAGTACTGATGTGGAATCATAAACCAAACATCCACACAACTCACAGGTATTTTGATTACATCGGATCTTAAAGACATGTATAATACACTTGGTTACTGTAACAAACTTACTCGTATAATGACTAGCACAATGACTGGCACTATCTCGGCATTCACAGGTGTTAAGTAATGCTGTAAACAACACAATGGTGTCAACTGGTTAAACATACATACACACATTTACAAAAAATATGGTGCCTTTTAAAATTTCTAATATTTTCATTAGCAATCACTCGTTAAGAAAGACCAGGGATTTATCTAGATTTCTTGACTAAAAGACCTTTGCGGGCAAATTTCCTTTTTGAATTTGCAATTAGTGTTAAGTTAGATTTTGAGAATATGTCAAGACACTGACTGAAGACTTGACGAGCAGGTCTAGATAAATCCCTATAGACAAACCATTCAATGGTGCAGATTGTCAACCACCAAGGCTTAAATACATGAAGTGTTAGTACAGAGATTTTAAAGTTTGGGTCCTAACAGTCAATCTTGACAGACGCTGATGGCCAGGTCACGTTCCTCGATGAGTTCCTTCTTTGTGGCATCCATTTTCTCCCTCGCAAAGTTATCGATATTAATACCCTGGACAATCTTGTAAGTTCTATCTGCAGCAATTTGAACGGGGAAACTGTAGACAAGACCAGCTTCGATCCCATAGGATCCATCAGAGATCACGCCCATTGATGTGAAAGTGTCCTGCAACAATGGATACAGGCAATGTTTGTCAAAATGGAGATGTGGGACTTCAGCTTAACAGACAAGTGTCATCAGGGGATGAAATTTCTCCCTGGAAATGGGAGTTTGGTTACTTTGGTTCATTGCTATGAGATACCTTCATGTCAGTGAAGAAAGAAAATGTGGTGGAGTACAGACGGATGGACAGACATGATGATTACAGTAGCTCAATCTAAACAAACAATGCAGTATTTCTGAGTTTTAGCTTAAGTTACTGTAAACGTACTTATTTTCGCGTGGTGCAATTTTCGCGGAATTGACAGTTTAGACTACATCGCGCGGTCAATTATTCGCGCAATCAGTAATTACCAGAACTGCCAGCTGTCTCTTTGGCCGCCACTAATAGCAGTAAAAACAAACAGAGTGGCTTAACCTGTCAGGCGGCGTTTATTGCTTACTCACAGGAAATCCCTATCTGTGCGATATACTAGTACACAGTAATCCGTTTACTCCCGGAAGAGATGAAAAACACATCAGTCTTATGTTCCGAATTCTGAAGATTTGATGAATTAACTTATACTGTATATGAAGCTCTTTGTGATTTCAAACAAGCCGGGTTGTTGTGAATGAGATGATTGAGTGTTAGTGACTATTCCCTTCATGATGTACTGGTGAATAAAATCTTAATGAATAAATAAAATACTGCTGTATTATTTCTTTCCGAGTCGTTTCACGGTAATCTGTTTTGTATCAAACCATGTCATGTGACCAATTTCCATGGCGGCCACAACACACATTGCTGTTTTCGCTAATTCGGCAATGGGATTTGGCTCATTATTTAATTATGTTTTGGGAAATCCATTACAGCGACAGTTAAGTATGATCAGTCGTCATTTTAAGATTCCCGTTGATTTCTGTCTTCAAACGTGATGTGTTATGGTAAAAACTCAGGGGCGAGCGTGGCTAGACTGAATGAATGACAGGTTTATTCGCGGTGTATAAATTTTCGCGCTAAAATGTTTTGCGCGAAAAGCGCGAAAATAAAACCTGCGCGAAATATAATACGTTTACAGTAGGTGGAAGACCCTAAATGGTCATTCTGTACAACACAGACAAAAAAGGTGATGGGTGAAGTTTGTTTGTTGTTTGACGCCACACTCAGCAATATTCCAGCTTTATGTCTTTAAATAATCGAGTCTGGACCAGACAATCCAGTGATCAACACCACGAGCATCAATCTATGCAATTGGGATAACATGACATGTTAGCGAGCCTGACCACCCAATTCAATTAGTAGCTTCGAACAATTCCATCTAAGAGCCGTTATCAGAATATTCCAGTGAGTGAGTGAGACACTCACTAACTGGAATGACACTTTAGCCATATTCCAGGCAATACCATGGCAGGGGCACACCAAGAGTGTGCTTCACACATTGTACCCATGTTGGAAATCAAACCCGGGTCTTCAGCATGACGTGCAAATGTTTTCAACAGCTAGGCTACCAACGCCCCCAGAATATTCCAAGCAGTGGTGAACTCTCTACCCTAGCTAGAAGTAGGTCTTACCGGCTTGGTGCCAAACCACCAATCTCTGAGATGGTCACAAATTGCCTTGGCGGCTGACATAGCACTGGAGAGTTTCCTTGCTGCTATGACTGCAGCGCCTCGCTTCTGTACCGTCTGTTGTAGAAGAAACACAATAGCTCACTTACAGACAAAACATAACACATAAGTCAAGACATTTCTCAGTTCTCAGTTAACTGATTTATACATGGAAATACCTTCATCACAAAGTTATATTTGCACTGAACTGATCATAACTTCCATACTTAAATATAGGTTTTCGACTGTTGTAGTGATAACATCATTTGTGGAAGTGAGTGAAGGAGTTAAGTTTTATGCCCCACTAAGCAATATTCCAGCTATATGGCAGCAGTCTGTAAATAATCAAGTCTGGACCAGACAATCCAGTTATCAACAGCATGCGCATCGATCTACGCAATTGGGATACCATGCCATGTGTCAACTAAGTCAGCGAGCCTGACCACCTGATCCTGTTAGTCGCCTGTTACGACAAGCATGGGCTACTGGAGACCAATTGTAACCCGGATTTTCACCGGTTCATTTGTGGAATGGGATGCCGGTCAGTAATTTGACTTTTCACTGTTCTATGTTCTTTGTTCAAAGCATTCTGAATATACTGCGATGTTAATTGTCAGGGGAATTTTTTAAGGTTGCTAAATTTCTTATGAAGCACATGTTACCTTTTATGAGTACTCTAGGATATCAGTTGACCAGGGCCCCGTTCCTCAAAGCGATCGTAGCGCTACGACAGTCGTAAGTCTATGTTAAAGTATGGGAGTTACGATCACCTTAGCGCTACGATCGCTTTGAGGAACGGCACCCTGAGTGAATTTGGCCACTTTACAACAAGTTGGAGTGTTCTGTTGGAGTGTTCTATAAACTTACGTGAATCTTATTCTGATTACTAATATATGGTTGTGACACCTGGAAATATTGTGAAAAAGACATTCAGAATATGTTACCGTGATAAAGTCATTGTTAAGCCAGTTGTCATCTTTGACAGCACTTCGTACATCCTTCAATTCGTTCTGTACTTGCACCTGGGCCCGGCTGATGTCGGGGAACTGCGTGGAAGAGTGGTTTCCCCAGATGGTGACGTTACGGACATCGGCCACTTTTACACCCACTCGGGCGGCGATCTGGCAAGACATGAACAACAGGGGATAGTCAGGGGAAGCAGGGAGAAATCTGAACTTGGCAATAACACAGATCAAATATACTAGGATTATGGTCACCATGTCCTTAATTACTATATCGATACTTCTCTGAGGCATAATACACAGAAGTACTCTCTTTTACGCTAAAGTTTCATGTGTTCTAGTGTGTAATTTTGAGAAGAACCCCATGACATTTTAAAAAAATATTTTAGCTAACTTATTTGTTTCATTTTAACCATAGATGTATATTCCATGTAAATACAGAACACTTTTTAGTGATAACAACTTATTATTCTTTACCATGATGTTTCAAAGCTAATTCTTAATCCTTCATCTGATGAATACAGGATGAAGGAGCAAGATTTAGATCTGAAATATCATGATAAAGAATAAAAAGAAGTTGTTATCCATGGAAAGTGTCATGTATTCAGGCTCTTCCAACTTCTAAATGCCTTTCAAGGACTTGAAATTGACTAACACAAATTTATATCATCTGATTATGTCTTTTCATATGTTTTGAGGATGGCAGCATAATTTTTGCTAAAAGTTGCATCACCCAGACATTGTAAAAACATGTAATCACAGTCTCAATTCTTATGGAAGTTGAGTGAGTGAGTTTAGTTTTACGCCGCTTCTACTTACAGCAATATTCCAGCAATATGATGGCAGGGGACACCAAAAATGGGCTTCACACATTGTACCAATGTGGGCAAACAAACCCATGTCTTTGGCATGATGAGCAAACGCTTTAACTACAAGGCTACGTCACCGCCTGATAATTTATGAACACTTTTATCTAATTAACTAGGTATCTGGAAATATCAAGACACTTAGAAACAACAGAGTCCAAGGACTTGGATTATCAACATACCTGTGACTGTGCTCTGTTCTGGTCCAGTCTTGTCAGGCAGGAGAAATTCTCTTTCGGGATGGAGGGAGCATATTTAGAACAGATTAATGCATTTGTGTTGGCTGGGTTACCTACAACCACCACCTGCAAATATAAACTGACAAAGTCACTTCCATGTACATGCTGTATTTTCTATATTTTCAGTATCCAATGTTATCTTAAATATGTTCTATAAAACACCAGAGCTCCAGATAAGATTTAGCTCATGTGGGTACTGTACCCACTGTATTTTTTTGGTGTGGGTATTATGAATGTTGAGTGGGTATTTCATTTTCCGTTACCCACTGCTTTCAAATATGTGCGTATTTCAGTCATTTCACTCACCTAAGTATTACGTCATTGAGTAAGTTTACTAAGCAGTTATGTTCTGCCTCATGTCATACCTAATCAAAACCAACTTAAATATAATGGAAATGATTTCATAAAAAATCACTCATCCTATACTGACAGTACAACACTTGTCCTATACTAACAGTACAACTTGATAGCAATCGATGTCTTTTTCATCACGCAAGCCATTTTATAAATATATTCCGTACGCATTTGTTTTAAACTTTTTGCGTATCTAACATTTTAAATGCGTAATTGGTACACAACAATTATTTTTCAATGCGTAATTGGAAATTTTATATATGCGTATTTAACCCGGATACGCTGATTATCTGGGCCTCTGAACACATCTGAGGAAATTTGAAAATCATCTTCATTGATTTAGAAGACAGACCCACTGTATTTAATGTATGTGTACACAGGGTCTAGAGCGAGTGAGTGAGTGAGTAATGAGGTGAGGTGAGGTGAGGTGAGGTGAATTGGGTTTAACGTCGTGCTTGAGAATATTTTGCTCATATGACGACGTGTATGCGTGTGTATGTGTATGTGCGGCTGCTTGTACTAGCCCAGACTGAAGCTGGTTTTATAGTGCTAGCCCACTGAAATACCATGCTGCAGTGAAGCAGAAATACCCCTATCAGACACATTATACTGACTCTGAGCTGACCAGTCCTTGTTGTACCTATTAATGCCGAGCACCAGACAGGGACCAACAAGTACCATATTTTAACGTCTTTTGGTATGACGCGGTCGGGGATTGAACCCACGACCTTCCGCTCTCCGGGCGGACGCTCTAACCACTACACCACGGAGGCGGTGAGTGAGTGAGTGAGTGAGTGATTTAGTGAGCGAGTGAGTGAGTGAGAGAGAGAGAGAGAGAGAGTGCTTTAAGCAATATTTAAGCAACATCACGGCAGGGGACACTAGAAATTTGCATCAAACATTGAACCTATGTGGATAATCGAATCCCGGGTCTTCGGCGTGACGACCAAACGCTTTAACCACAAGGCTACTCCACCGCCTGCATGCCACTGTGAAGGTCAATAATAAATAAAGGGCAGGCCATTAAAAACTATAGAGTCCCGAGAGTAGTAACGTAGGTAAATGCATCATCATTGTGCCTGCTGTGTTGTCAGCACTGTAGTCTAGAACTGGTTTGTCATACTAGCTAGATATTGTCTTTGTCTTACGCAGAACGCTGTATCAGTCAGTACCTTTACACTTTTCTTGGCATACTTGTCCAGGGAGTTGCCTTGAGTCTTGAAAATCTTGACATTGGCAGCAAGAAGATCCTTACGTTCCATTCCTTCTCTCCGGGGGCATGGAGCCCACTAGACATGCAACATCGATGTCCTTGAAGGCGACAGTCTCATCACAGGTGGGGATGACACCTACAAATATACCAAGGATATTTAACAACCGAATGTACCAATGATGATCAAGTCCAAGGAATTTAGAATGAGAAAATGCACATTATGCTGACCCCTTGAAGGTCAAGGCTGGAAGAGTCTGAAGCAATCCTTGTTTGTTACAAACAAAAGCAACATTTGAGATGGTATAAACCAACTTCAAAAGCAAAAAAATTATATCATCAATTTAACTGAAACAAAACAATTCTAAAATGCTAACTAATGCAGTAAAATCTGACAATTTTCATCCTTCCACTCCTCAAACAAAGGTACATAACTATCATAAGAAAGTGTGATTCAAGACATGAAAGGTTTAAAATTAAACTGCAAAATCTGAGTTTTTGAATGCATAACTTGTTTTATTTATGACAGCAATTACTGAAAGTATCGTTTTTCTGCAAACTGTCAGTATTTTTCAATTCCGATTTCAGTCATAGTAAAGATGTACTGCACACAAGTACAATTCACTGGTACTTCAGTAAAACCAATTAAGTGTAATATTGCAGTGTGTGGACTAGCGGTGTTCCGATTAATTGAAATAATCAAAGATTGGTCGCAGTGACCAAACGACCAAGCAATCGATCACATTTTCTCATAATTGAACATAAACGATTTTGGAACTACTGTTTTAGTCTTTGAAAAACATGACAATGGAACATATCTTAGAAGTTGTCAGGGCCTGAAATTGTGTTTAATTCTTAGAAAACTCACTTCACTAACTGAAAAGCCATGACTGAATACTTCTCTAAGACTCAAGGAAGTTTATGTTCATGATATATTAGTCATCACTTTAAAGTAGTAAGTTGCATCATGTTATATGTATCTGGAATAACAACCTGGATAGGAAAATCTGAAAAATGACGCTAACCAATTTTTTTCGATGATTGTTCGTTGGTAATGAAGCAATCATCAATTGTGAGATTTCAACCAATTCCCAACTCTAGTGTGGACAACAAACACTCAGCTGAAAAGTCAAGACTACAGTGCAAGTTGACACCTCTTTTCTAAAAAGACAGGAAAGAACAAAGCCTAATGCTATGCTCACTGTTGAGGAGAGGCAGAGCACAGTCCTGTAATTCCATGACCACTCCGTTGAGCACTCCCTCCATAGGTTTGATGTCCAGTAGAACCAGGTCAAGAGTCTGCAACATACACCACATATTTGTTAGCTAGTCGTAATCGAAGTAGTAGGGCATGGGAAGAGCAGTTGTGCTTAATGATTCAACTATGTTCAGACCCGAAATTCATCTCACAACTGTGTTGAACGACCCCATTGTAGTTCATTAATGTTTGCTTCTGGGGTAACAAGTTGGATATTTAATAATTAATTATATATATTTGCTTGTCTCATGCTATGAATTTCTTCTTTCTTCTTCTACCTTGGTGAGGGAAAGAGGGAGTGAGTTAGGTTTTATACCGTTTTTAGCAATATTCCAGCAATATCACAGCAGGGGACACCAGAAATGGGCTTCACACATTGTACCCATATGGGGACTTGAACCCTGGTCTTCAGTGTGACGAGTTAATGCTTTAACCACTAGGCTACCCCATTGCCCACGAAGGAAAGACTCATAGCTAAGTTTCCAGCTACAAAACAAATCACCTTGGGTCACACGAGACTGAGTCTGATCCACACGACAAACGCATCATTCTTTTCCTTTGAGCAGACAGACTGGTGTCACTGATGTGGGGATGGTTGGATGGGAATGTAGCGTGTGAAATAGGATAGGTACAATTTTTTATATTCTTTCCAAATTTTAAAACTTTTTTCAATACTATCTCACACAAAGCATTTATTTCTTGGCAAGATGGGGGAGCTCAGATACTCAAGCTTGTACAGACTACAACTGTGAGACCTATGAAAAGCTTGTACTAAACTGCAATTCAATCCATGACTTGGTAAAAGATGGAATGGTGAATAACTGTGCATGACAGAAAAACCAAACATGACTAAATGTTTGTGTAAATTCATTGCAAACCTTCCATTTACATGATGCTCTGAGTGTATACCAGACACTTCAGCAACTGACAAAATGAGCATAATTCTATGCATCCAGCGAGCCTGACTACCCGATCCAATTGGTCGACTTATGACAAATATTGATTGCTTGATGCTAATTGCAACCGTGATAATCAGATAATTAGGACACCATGGCAGACAAAGCAGTGAAGTACACTGGATGCCCTCTAAACCGGCAGCCCTCCAATCCGGCGTGCCCTCAATATCGGCACTAGAATTCGGTCCCGGCAGAAGCTAGTTAATTTATGATAATTTACACGCCCTCTAATCTGGCATCAGTCTATTCCTTGTTTCTTTTTCATATGCAAGTTTTCTTTTCATTCATTATTAAACTGCTATATGATGATGCTCTGCAAGCAATTGAGTACATACCGGACACTTCAGCGACAGACAAAATGAGCATAATCCTATGCATTTGAGATATGATTCTATGCATCCAGCGAGTCTGACTACCTGATCCCATTGGATTGCTTGATGCCAGTTGCAACCGTGATAATTAGATAATCAGGACACCCTGGCAGACAAGGCAGTGATGTACAATGATGTAATCCAACCACATTCGTAAACACTTTCTCTGGTAAAATTTTGCCTTTAATTACACATGAAAGCAGATATGCAACAGTGAGCCCTAAAATCGCACCTGATTTGGACCAAACACCTCCCCTCTGGCAATGGCGATAACGAGGGAGTAGGCGATCTGTCCAGCAGCGCCGGTCACCAAGACTTTCAGAGGTTCCGACTGAAACAACATTTAAGGTCATTTGGTTATATTGACATAAAGAGTTAAAAGTGAGTGAGTTAAAATGTATAGTCAGCGTTAGTCACACTAGCAATATTTCAGCCATATGGCGACTAAACAGGTCATACTTAAATATAGAAAAAGTTATATTATAAAATCTATCGCCAAAGGACAGGTAAACAACTAAAATATCCCTGTGAGTTGTAACTGTTGAAATGGTTACATTCAACTAACAATGTATTGTAACTGTTATGGTTATCCTGAGTGAGTGCCTGAATATGGTTTTACAGGCTTTTAGCAATATCACGGCGGGGGACACCACAACTAGGCTTCACACATTGCACCAATGTGGGGATTCGAACCCGGGTCTTCGGCGTGACGAGTGAACGCTTCAACCACAAGGCTAACCCACCGCCCCGACATGGTAATCCTGACCCAACACTGCATTATAACTGCTACCAGTAGGTCTGGCTAAAATCATAGGTAATCCGAATGATTGTTGACGGGAAAATGTATTTATGAGTTTCAGTATGAAAATTGTTTGTGTCATCAATAATATCATACATTAACTAACGTGAAGAAATAGAGTGAGTGAGTCAGTGAGTATGGTTTTAAGCCGCGTTTGGCAATATTCAAGCAATATCACGGTGGGGGACACCAGAAATGGGTTTCAAATGTATCCACGTTAGGAATCGAAACCCGGGTTTTCGGCGGGACGAGCAAACGCCTTAACCACAAGGCTATCCCACCGCCCTGAAGAAATAGAGGTTTAATTTACACAGATAATACACAAAGTTCATTCTAAATTATGTTAGGCTGATGTATCTTCCATTATATAAGGTTAAATTTGTTTCCACTCAGTGATATGAACTATGATTTCTTTCAGATTGGTTTGGCATTTTTGCACAAAGTTACTCTTACGATATTTAACGACAATCAATCAATGTTCAGTTAACGATTATTGATCTCTTTGATCTATATTGACAACCAGCCCTAGTTACCAGAATACCAAAATACATTTAATGGTGACAATAGTTTCATGACGAGAGATAAACCAGAAAATATTATGGACCTGCCATGGTTGGAAGGCAGGGAAACATTTTCACACATTCATGTTTGTAAATCCATGATAACGAAGATACATCTAAATATACTTTTTAATATACTAAAAGCAGTATGTTCTCTCTTATCACATCATGTAATCTTGACTGGGAGAAAGGATTGTGGCGATACAGGTCTCAGATATTCATCACTTTAGAAAAACTCAAAACAATGGGAATGGTGCTGTCTAACCTCAACAAAACTTGCTTAATATAGTTGATAATTACCCTTGCTCCAAGGCTGTACTCAATAATAAGTATGGATTTGTAATAGTTCTATCCATGTTATAGGCAAGTCTAGATTAACAGATAAGCAAACTAGGCTTTTATTAGGACAACCTGTTCATGCATGAACTCCAGTGTTCGTTCTTGAGGCCACATATCAATTCGTAAAAATTTTAATTTCAGAATAGTAAAACGCAGCATTGTGATCTTAGCTATCAATTAGTTTATTAGACATTGGAACATACCTAAAAAGACACAAGGGGTGTTGGGACTCTCGTTATTTACAGTTTGTATATTGGTGTAGTGGTTCCACGTCTGGATTCGCCATGGGCCTTGTATCCACTGTGTCATGATATAGTCCATATTCCTGGTTACCTGCTCACCACCAGAACTCACAGCCATAATGACAAATGTCCAGCCAAGCATCTTCAACATTAGCTACAGGGACAAGAGCTAGTGCCCTTCTTTGCTGGTCGTAGCGAAGAATGCAGGACACTGAGAGAAACATGTGTCCTTGAACTTCTGCATGTAGACAGTAGAGTGTACAGATGGTGGAAGATATTGGGGAGTGGTGTAGAACGTGCCGTCAACGTAGATGACATCTGCATCAGTCAGAAGCTAAAGGTTGATCGCGGTAGTGAAGATGTGAGTTCTCTTCCTCAGGTTTTCTATTTTGGCTATCAGGAAGTCTTCACCCGAATCTGTTGTTGTCCACTCACCTCCTATCTGGACATGGGTCGTCTCTTTCTTCTCTCTCGGTAGAGTGGTGTCCTGATGCTGGGGAAGGTGGGGATGTGTTGCAGGATATCGTCAGGCAAGGAATCGGCACTTCTTCTGATGTTCCATAGTTCGTCCTTGTAGATGGATGTATTTTCTTCTCTGGCTCGATCCATGAGACGTGGCCTAATCCAATAAAAGCCCACCCCTTCCTTAATGAACTTGGTTTCTCCCAGTGTGTTAACACAGTCTGTTGCACACCGAGAATCGACCTACTAGCATAGAACCAGTCAAGCATGAGTCAACTGAATAGTCTGGCTGACTGTTCAAAAGTCGACGAATTAGGCCATAATGGCCCTTGAGAGCAGCATTTCAGTAATGATGCAAGAATTACAACTGACACAGATGAGACTCAAATGCCTAAATATGCATCATTTTATGACAATAACATTTAGAAAACAAGACTCTTTTGGCAGTGCCTATACTATCTGATATAGGCCTTCTATACTACAACAGGTTCTAGTTTATTCAAAAAGGTGGAATTTTTCTCAATATAAGGTTAAAAGAATATTCACTTGCTCTGTTTTATGATCTAGTTGATATCATGTTTACTTTCCAAGATTTACAAATGCAGTGCTATTAGCTTGACACCTCTCCTCACAAAACATGATAAGCACAAGTGTTGAGATTTCGTTAAAATCTCAAAACTTATGATTGGTCTGTAAGAACCGATCAAATATAAAAAATAATTGGTTAGTTATGTTTGTTAATGCACAAAAAATATATAGAAAAAACATGTAGTTCTTTGGGGTTTTCACAAATTGCCCAAAATGCATTTGCACATTTCACATCTTTAAACGATGACTACCATGTTAGGAACATATATTTTACTGGAGCTTTTAAGATAAATTCAATCATGACTTGGAACAAGCTTGTGATGCTTATGAAATGTAAACTAACAACTCAGGCAAAACCAACCTTGTGAAAAATATTGTTAATGCAAATAAGACTTCCCAAATTGTTTGTGTTCGATTATGAGAAATGATCAATTGCTTAGTCGTTTGGTCACTGCGACCAATCTTCCACTATTTCAATTATTCGGACCACCACTAATAAGCACTGACACATTTACATCATTTTCATTTCTAACCACATCCTTGTCATGCTTATAACAACCTTTATTCATAGGAAATGATCAGAGACAGTAAGCCTGGTGGTAAGGTTGTCAAAGGGCAGAGGGGGAGTGAGTTTGGTTTTAAGCTGCTTTCAATACTACTTCAATCATATAACAGCATGTCAGCTTTGAATGGGAGGAAAGCCTTGGGTAAGTGCAAACATTGGATCTGAACATGGATCGTAGGTTACTGGATTACCTTGGGGACAGAAGTCAACACAGCAATTTGTGGTACCACATGGATTTATCCCTGATTTTAAACTTATTGCATCTGCCCAGCAAACTGGATATAAATTGTTGCTTGGTCGAAATTTGTTGGTTTATTTTACTTATTTACTCCATATGTATGTTCAGATTGCATTCAATGCAATAATAATGACGAAAGAATTAAAACCTCTCCTTATAGGATGAAGTTACATATCTTTACTTTTATCAACAAGTGTTGATATATTTCATGTCAGAAGACATGAGGGTGAGATTGTATTTATTATAAAAAATCACTCATCATTAGTTTTCAATGAAAAATGCACATCTCTGAACACGGTACTGTCATTAGACTTGCAGTGCAGCGATATCATATCATTGTGACGTCATCAAGTTTATGACGTCATGGCATTGTCAGGGCATTGTACAAAATCTACTGTCAAAAAGATCTCTCCTAGGAGATATCGTTTGATCTTACACAAGCAATATCTCCAGTGGAACACAGTTTTGGATGATAAAACTAACAGTTATGGTTTATATCTGCAAAACCATAAAGTCAGTTAATTATAAATAACATTAAGGTGACTTTGGAAAAGTTTTCCTAATTAGGAGATGTTATTGAGATCTGTTGCAGACAAAAGATCCACTTCTGAATAGGTCTTAAATGAACCTTAGCCGCGATGCATGATCATGTCTTGACTCTCAACAGTCAACTGGGTGCACCCCAGCATCGTAGACGACAGGTGCTCACATTGGGCCACAGGCAACGAGGAAACTTCTAAACTTGAAATCACACTATAGAAACACATTCCCAGGCGAGAACAAACATTAATAATGAAGCATAAGTATATCACCCATTCTGATGCCTTGTCATGAGGTCAATCAGTGGCGATCAGCTGTGAATGGACTGTGCCGACTTGGAGGACTGTCAAGGTCACTATGCAACGCGACAATAGCGAATCCATGATATTCAACGAGAAACAGACTAAATAGAACACTTGGGAAAGGGTATGTGTACGATGAAAAACTGTCAGAATAATAATAGCTGCCTACCATCTTGTAACTTTTCTTTATTCACGAGTCCACGCCTTCACAAATGTTGATTCACAACCGCCGGCTCAGCGATGTGGTAAGGTCAAGGACGGGCACCTGCCGTAACTTGTAAATCGCATCTTCATTGGTTCGTATCCTGAAAATGGACCAATGAAAATTAGCTTTTAATGGTGCTTTGTTGTAAGCTCATCCTGCTACCCAGAGTTCCTTGCGGCTAGCCCGGTTCAAGTAATAAAAAACGAACCCCTGCTGAATATTCAGTGACTTATCTCTCATTATAATTGATTCCTAATCATTGGTAAACAGACACTATTTTTGTGCTAACTTATTCTTTCGTTTGCAAAACTTAAAGTTTGATATTTGTTTAAACTCTTACTTTTTTGTTTGTTTCAAGTCCTCTGTTTCAAACCAATATCGGTAAATGATATCCTTTGTACAAATTATCGCAGTCTTCCATTCTACATTACATATGAAAACAACAACCATGTTTTATATCGTAGTTATTGATTAATACTCTCTCGGATATACATCGTTCCAGATTTTAACACAATGCTTCCTGATTGCGCATGCGTTATCTGTTTGTTTACTTCCGATTTGGAGCAGACAAGATTCTGTCAGAAGTTTTCGTGATTAGTTTTCGGTAAAGGAGGAATCACTTTCTTAGATTTTCCGATTCCCCTGTACGTTTCACCTGTCTTACAATCAGGGGAAGGGGGTGCTACCCGTGGCCTATGCGCATTTGATTTTCCCAAGTAAACCTGTCGATAAACTGTTCTGAAACTTCTGTCAGTTCTGAAGGAAAGTTTCGAACATGTGAAAGAGCACTCATCCACAACAAGCAGATGGTCTTCTTAATCTGATCTATTTCTCTGTAGGTCCAAGTAATAGGATCAACTGAAGTTAAATACATGGGTTCTCCAGAGACAGTTAAATATTAGTGTTTAGTGCAAACCAATAGTAAACTGAAATATTATATGTAATGTAAAAGGCATCACAAGTTGTAGAATTTAAAATATGATATACTTATTTAATGTTTTGAACATCTTGATGACTATCAATTTTATCCCTTAGTATAACATTTACTTTGATGCCATACTGTCCCCTCAAAATCAGTGGTCAAATGGTATTATACCTGTTACAGGGCCACTGATCCAGAGCAATTTCCGTGGACTGGTTGTTGCTTTTGTTATTGTTTTTCTCCAGTGAGTACCTGGATGATATCCCAGAATTCATGACTGGTTTGTTACCTCTGCTGCGCCACCCTCATGAGTAATTGATAGTATAAATATAGACTGATCAACAAAGATGAAATCTTTTTACTCGATAATCTTATGTTGATTTTGTTGTAAAAGTATGTAGACTTTGATGAATAATTTGGTTTCTTATAAAAAAATATTCACTTTGATAAAAATGCTGATTTTGATGTACAATTTTCATCATTAGAACAGACACGGTGGTGTTCGCATTATGGCCCTTTATTTCTGATAGTTCATGTAAAAAACCCTGAAACAATTAAAACATTCTTTAGACAAAACATAAATATATGTTGATAGATAATATCAATCATTAATATCTTTAAATATAACCATTTAAAAAATATCATTATTGCTAATCTATTCCATATACATTGCCTCCATATTTCATTGATGACACATTCCATTTATACTTTAATTCATACATAGATAGGCATATACATATCATATCATATAGGGAAACAAGCATTTCTTATCATTATGACATTACACAATGCATATATAAAATATAATAAACCCACCAAGTGTGTGGACCTGGGTACAATCAGTACACACCGACTCCTTCACGAGCAATACACCTACATCTGCACACGAATAAATGAAACATATATACACACTGTGCAGACTAATCAAATGACAGCAATAACAATACAACAAATACGTTTAGTTATTGTTGAGGGGGCGGTGGGGTAGCCTAGTGGTTAAAGCGTTGGCTCGTCACGCCGAAGACCCGGGTTCCATTCCCCACATGGGCACAATGTGTTAAGCCCATTTCTGGTGTCCCCCGCCGTGATATTGCTGGAATATTGCTAAAAAACGGCGTAAAACTAAACTCAGTCAGTCAGTCAGTCAGTTATTGTTGATTAATGAGAATCATTTAAAATATCTATAATGGTAAAACCCTGCTTCATTCTTACATTCACACATTATGCATTCATACATTTACACATTATGCATTCATACATTTACACATTATACATACATACATTTACACATTCATACATTTACACATTCATACGACAGCTGTATAGTACTTAAAGATTAAGTTTAACACTGATAAATAGCTTACTGAATTATTGAATTATTTACCGTTTGTAAATAATTAGACTTATAATGCATTACATTCTGCAACACAACTAGTTATCACAAACTACTCAATATTTACAATATGACAAAGCAGCCAAATTATCAAAGCATAAACACAATATGCATCCAATGAGTATGTACAAACTACAAAAAGTATGGAAATAGACTAACCTTCAGAAATGATCTCAAGAGCTCCTATAAATGTCCAAATAATTCAAAACGTGTGAGATTCAAAATCCACAAATGCCTTGTGACCAGTTGACAGTTGAAACGTTCTGAACAGATAATAAACTTCAAACCTTAAAACAGGGGACAGTAAGCTAACAAGGTTTATGACAAAGGGACAGTAAGTGGTGCGCTTGGGCAGGCTGTTGTGTGGCAGTGCTCTAGGTGACTGTGACTGAGGCAGAAAACTCATGCAGTAAGCTGAGATAGCGGTTAAGAGAAGCTGAAGAGTGAAGTATATAATGTTTAAAATACACTAAACTGAATATTTAATTCAGTTAAAACTAAAGAATAAAAACACTAAATATATACAAACATTTCATCCTGTCACACATAGTAATGTTGACTTTGTAAAAATGTTAACGTAAATGGATGTAGAATTTGAATTAAGAAATAGTTTGACCATGAATTTGGTAAGAAGCCTGATACAATAGCATTGTTTTGAAAGTAAGGCTAACTAAGTACATGGGGAGTCTTGGGGAGAGTAGTGAGCTTGGGTTCACTACTAGTCAATCTGAATGTTGTATTAAATGGCATTATTTTGATAACAAATGAAAACATTTTAAGTTTAACCATCTGCCAGTGGTAAAAAATGTTAGAACTGAAATAACGAAGTCAATGTACGTCTTTATATTTTGTCTTATAATCTTAATTAGTTTATTATCATATTTGTATGCATTTTGAAACTTAATAAAATGCACACGATCTGCTTATACTTAGTGAATTTATAACATGATTGTAATATCTAGACATTTTATAGATTGCCAACGTGTATCATATTTCACACACATGACCTGAGTCTGTCTCATTACACTTCACGGCAAAAAAAAAAAGATTCTGTTGACTGCCATAACAAATAAATATAATCTTAATTAGTTTATTATCATATTTGTGATTCAAATATATCAAATGTGTGTTTTTGATATCATAGCATACGTAATTGACATCATATTTTTACCTGATTAAATATTGAGGCAAAAGCACAGAAATTGGATCAGTCACTATACCATCCAAACATATGAAAATCTGAAAAAGCCTACACTGCTGGGATACTTTATTACAATCAGACAAGAACTACCGGGGATATTTTCAAATATTGGCATCTGATTGGCATCCACCCTTCCTAATGTCCCACTGATTAGGTTGAAGAAATTCTGCCAGGGTGGACAGTAGCCCAGTCCCCGTGTCTGTCACGGTCGAGGGAGCAGAGGCTGACCAGTTTGCAGACAGACAGATTATTTATTAAAGTCTCACCCCTGTTATACATATATACAAACTAATTAAACATATATTTACATAGGGCCATTCCATACGGAATTATGAGAGACTAAAATTCTTTGAAAATTGCATGTACATGTATTATGAATAACAATAATTAAAAGTTATATAATACGGATTTTCTCCTTTTTAAAATAACATGGCAGGTTTTGGCAGCTATAAAACAGATATTGCTATTGGACAGGATAAAAGCAGTTTTTTGTATATCAGTAAGATTACTAAAATTCTGACATAGGCTATCACAAGTATTTAAAAGACTAAAACGTTCATAACTATAAACCGGACAATTAATTAAAACATGAACTTCGTCTTCAACACAGTGTTTACAATAAAAACATTTTCTGTCGTTAAGTGGAATATTGTTATATCTACCCAGCTCAATATTAATTGGTGCAGTGCCGCATCTGAACTTAGCATATGCACTTCTGTATGGGCGGGGCATGGGAGGTTTCGTAATTAGACTGCTGACTGGAAACAATAATCGCTCTGGATCAGTGGCCCTTTAAGCAACATTGCCTGGCTGTTGTCCATTATGTAATCATGATATTGTGCCAATGACAGCAGAAGGATCTGATTGCCCTTCTTATTCACTAATTATACACTTCTTATACCTTTTTGTGATCTGTTTGTGACACACACATATTATTTCAGAGTTTCAATGGTGACTTGTTTGAGTGAACTGTTTCTCTGGTCTTTGAAAAACCATTACTCGATACCAGGTAAGTTGTTTTTTAAGTAATAATAATAATGGCAATGGAATCCATCATTCACTATGTTTTTCATATTTATCAGCATGATCAGGATTTGTTCTGCTCGTCATGTAAATGCCATCATGGTCAGTATTGTTTCAGTTTCCAAGTAGAATTGCAATGAAACCTTGTCAGTCAGGCCCTACTACTTTGGAAAGCCTTCCTTTCAGATATTTACTGTTGATGTCTATAAGTATTGGGCATTTATCAACTACATGGAACCTGTTGACATCTTTCATGCTACAATGTCCAAGAATAGAATCTTATGCCAGTCTTGGGCTGAATGGGTAACGGGTTTAGATGAAACAGTGTTGTTGAAGTAATAAAGTTTACCATGTTTTAGTATGTTGAAGGGAGTACCATCTGGAGCCTTCAAACATGCACTGTCGGGATTAAAGTTGACGGTTGCTCCCTTGTTTGTAGCTGTCTGCACAGACAAAATGTCTTGGTTGAACGATAGAACATATAACACATCCTCCAGTATCACTTTGTGTTGCTTACCGTCGACATCACACAAATAAACACATGCTTCACCTTTAGCTTGAACAATCCCGTTAGTTCTACTTCCATCAGCAAACTCGATGTAATGTTCAGATGTGCGGAAAGTCTCATCAAAATTAACAAACTTGTCTTTGTCAGTTATCATATGTGTTGTAGATCCACGGTCCACAAGAAGATTGTTAACAAAATCACCAGTTTCAGCTCGAAATATGAATGTTCTGGCTCAGAATGCTCTTTCTCGTTACTCACACTTTTTGCATTACCCCTCTTCCGGTATCATGTGTTGAACTTTTGCATATGTCACACCATCTGTCTTATTTCTTGTTTCCACTTGAATAATACTTCCTTGCTCCTTGTGTCTGTTGCTGATTCTTATTTCTGCACTCTGATGCTCTATGTCCTGGCTTTCCACATCTATAACACTTGAAGGTCATAATACTGTCTTCACCCTTACGTGTATATTGTACTTTGTCAGTCTCTTCATAACTCCCCAGAGCCGTTTTAAACTCAGAAAAAGTCATTTTTGTGTTACCACTGTAGCAAAGGTTTTATAGGAAGAAGGTAAGCCTTTAAGTACCATTGCTATCAAGAGGCTATCGCTAATTGTCTCCCCTGCCATTTTTGAAGAATTCGCTGCAGTCTCCGCCTTGATTACATAGTAAGTTGTGCACTCAGTTCCCATCTTCAATGAGGTAAGTTCTGTGTACAGTGAAATCACACGTGTTTTTTTCGCTTCCCAAATAGTGTTCCCGTAGAATCTTCAAAGCTTTTCTCCCATCGTCCTTCGCGTCCCTCATTACAAGGCCTAGGCTTCTGTCATCTAATCACTGTACTAATTCCGCAAAAGCAACAGCATTCTTGCTGGCAGAGGGGCTTTCTGACGACTCTTCGGCCGGTAACATGACGTCGTACAATTTTTGTAACCACATGTGTCCGAGGAATTTCACCTCCCATAATTCGTATTTCGCTTCATCTCCGTCGAACATCAAATGTTGTCTGGGCCCGTAACCTGTTGACATCTTGCTTCTCATTCATGAACAACAGAGGCATCCAAGTTGGGGTTAAAAATTTAATAAACCTTCCACACAGGTCGACAGTTACATTCAAACTGAGCATGGGAAACACATGTACAGGTACTTCTGTTAAAGATAAAAGGGAGATAATTGTTTCTGTCTTTTACATACCGCTAAAAACAATAAATGAGAAAGTTACTGATGCGTACATATACAATATCTACAAAGCAATATAACTGCAGTTTACTCTAACAGAACCCTTGGGGAAAATATTTTAAAAGTTTTCTGACTATCAGCGAATATTTTGTATTCAAAGCAGTAAGGTAAAGCAAAGGACAAAAACCTCTACTTCTGCAATTGTTCTTGATGCCAGTGTCACACAAGTCACATCTGTACATACCATTAGTTAAAAAGCATCATAAATTCCTAGGTATACTGACTTGGCTTGGCAATTTGCATTACATTTGCTGCACATTTGAAGGTGAATAGTAGTTTCTGAACAAGTCTAGAAAAGGATTATACCGATAAATACTAAATAACCCCATCCCCTATGTACTCCTGATTTACTGATCAATGGTAGAGGAGAAATTGTTTTACTCACTGGGAGTGTTCTGATTAATTATGTTTCACTCCATCTTTAAAACAAATCTGTAATTGTCTGATGTTATTTTTATCTAATTAAATTGATTAGATAACGCCTAATGAATTAGCAAACATAACAGTGTATAAGATATGTTTGTTTTATCAATATAATATATCTTCAACCCAAAAACGTAGACATGATAGTATGAAATTTCATTGAATGTGACAAGGGATTGATTGACATTTCCTTTGTTTGCAGATGGAGCTATTGGATGCCATGTCTATCATGATAAAGGAGAACAAGGTAACTGTCTTCCGTCTATAGCAGTATTCATCATCACAATGTCTTCTTGTAGTTTCGGCTAGTTTGAATATGTTAACAAACCATGACAAGCATGACATGTGTAAGCATGTATAGTTTCTCTGTCTCTGAAAGGTTAGTCAAGTTATAAATGTTTGTTTGTTATTTAACGCCACACTCAGCAATATTCCACCTATATGGCAGTGGTCTGTAAACAATTAACCAGACAATCCAGTGATCAGATACAGGAGCTCCTGGCCCAAATTATGTAACAAAATAGGTTTGTTTGACCTTTTTTATCACATAAATGACCTTCTAGTATGAAGTGCCAAGTTTCTGATCATATCATTCAAATACAGACAAGATTTTGACAACAACACTAAACTAAATGTATAGCAAACATGCTTACAATGAACTGACAGATAAAAAAGAACTGGTGGTTTTTTTGCCCCAGCCGTATACTTTGTAATTAAGTTGAAATGTGAGTTATAAATAGTAGTAAAACAGACAACAATTAGTGGTCCCTTTGACCTCGTTTGAACCATAGTTTACTGTATAGAAATGAAACAAAACTTTTCAGCTTTGATTGTGTTCGAGAACTGAGCTATATCATAATGTACAAGTGGCGACTTGTAAATTTTATTACACTAGATCACGAGAAATATAAAAAAAAATATTATGTTTCTTGTGATTCAGTCAACTTGCTGGAGCAGCCATACTACGAAGAGAAACTACAATTTACTGAAGGTAATTACTGATGCAACCGTGATGAGACACTAAATGATGAGTGATAACAAGTTAATGATTGTGTTACTTATCATGTGGGAGTAAGAACCTCATGCTGCTAGCTCATAATATTTTCGTATTTACTTTGATCTAATTTATAGTCCAAATATCATGGGATGTTGATTAAAGCTGGCATTGGAGGGGATGCATATGAGTGGGTTATCATGCTGAGACAACTGTCACAAGTCTAAGTAAAGGCTCAGTATTATTCGTTACACTGCTATACTGAGTCTAACAAAAGCTTGTGGAAGGTCGTGTCAGCTGACGTTTTCAATGGACCAATCAGAACACAGCTTACCAAATCGCGAAAGTTGACATTCGCACATACCTTTTGAACTTTTACCTCGAAAAAGATTTGTACCCGAACGATTCCGAATGCTATTTTCCGTACGATCGCTTCCGAGTGATGCACATGGAGCACGCCACAAGAGTGAGTAAACAGTCGCTGAGAATAGCATTTTGTAAGTATTCAAGGATGTCAGCTTGCGGAAATAGTAGCTAATGATAGCCATGTCAACAGAAACCCAAAAGTGTATATTCTGCAGGTCTGTGTTTTATGCGGGTTTCATTTGTTATCAGATCAGTGTTGGCGACCGGGGGAAGAGAAAATCCATTTTGTAAGTCCCGCCAAACCCTAAATAGTAGCCGTTGTCTGATTGGTTAAATCCGTTCTGCCGTCTGGCGTTTGATTGGACAGTCATAGGTCGCTCAAAGGTTACCTGACGTGACCTTCCACAAGGTTTTGTTAGGCTCAGTATAACAGTGTAACGAATAATACTGAGTCTGAGTTTACTTAGACTGCAACTGTCACATTCCTTTGCCTGTGGGTCTCTTTAGACTAGTGAATGACTGTGATTCTTTGTTGCCATTTCAGCAAGGGACATGGTTTGGTCTCCTCGAAACAAGCGGCCAGAAAAAATCAGGGACAATTTAAAGGAGGTCGAGGTAATTGGTTACATGTTTCTTGTGCTTTTTGAACATTGATGAACAATTGCACTGTTAGGCAACATCAGAAGTTTATAGGAATTACATTTTCTGAAGATGATTGCATCTGAGCCAACAATTACTTTTTTCACAAAAACAACAAAGCTTTGTTTCTCTTCAAGTTTTACCTTGCACTTGCTTATTGTTTTGTAGGACATTCTGAGTCAGTTTAAATGTGTTCAAGTCAGATGGAAGAACAGAAGGGTGTTACAGGTAAGACATTATCTGTGTATGTTTTATGTTAATATATTATGGTTATCATATTGTGGTCTCAAATTGCTTAGGTATTCTCTTGAGAAAATGCTTTTTGTATCTGGGTTAGTGCACTCAGGTTACATTGATGTCAGGCATTATTTGCATGGGACTTGGTGATCATCAAGAATTGCCCCTAAAATTATGATCCTTAATTAAATTATGCATGGTCACACCTGTATCTACATTCATGATATTTAGTCTATGTAAATGAGCACATCAATGATAAAGTAGTAAAATTTATGAATTGATATGCAGCTACATCCTATGATAAATGCATATACAGATTTCTTCAGTGTGAGTACATCTGAAAGCTTCACTGTGCTTGTAGAATGGTTGTGGATGATATATGAATCATCATGATCACGCTTGGAACAAAATAGAATCAAACCTTGTGGGTGATACTTTGGTGCCATGTGATTTGACACAAATACTGATCTTACAGTTAGGTACCATAGTTATGTAATTCTTCTCAATACCATTATCAATTAACTCATTATAGCCTGGATGGCAGCCAAGCAATATGATCTAAGATGTACCTGTGAGTTTGTTCAATTATACATTTGTGCCATAGACACCTTGACACAGGTAATGAGGAAGTAAATATACACTCCCTACATCTCTGCTCATCAAGGATGTGGAACCGATATTGGTGGAAAGAAGTAGGAGATACATTGCTGGTTTTCCTATCTCCATGGGATTTGGCTGTAGTACTTACACACTTGCTGACCATAAACTTGAAATATTTTTTAAAACACTGTTCAGTCATGGTAATAACGTGATCATTAGGAGTGTCAGTTAGGTAAGCATTTACCGGTAAACAAAGTAGCATCATAATTGAATCCACAATTCTTTAAAAGTAGTAGTGATGTGTTCCCAGCAACCATACTGTCAATAAACACAAGCATTTCAATCAAACACTTTAAAACATTTTCAACTCCACCCCCTCCCATTCTTGGAAGACTGCCTCCGTGGTGTAGTGGTTAGAGCCTCCGCCCAGAGAGCGGAAGGTCGCTGGTTCAATCCCCACCGTCATACCAAAAGACGTTAAAATATGGTACTTGTTGGCCCCTGCCTGGTGCTCGACATTAATGGGTACAACAAGGACTGGTCGGCTCAGAGTCAGTATAATGTGTCTGAGTGGGGTATTCATGCTTCGCTGCGGCATGGTATCTCAGTGGGCTAGCACTATAAAACCAGCTTCAGTCTGGGCTAGTACAAGCAGCCTCACATACACATACACACGCATGCACGTCGTCATATGAGCGAAATATTCTCAAGCACGACGTTAAACCCAATTTCACCTCACCTCACCTCACCCATTCTTGGACTATCCAATGCAACACTGTAATAGAGTCCAAGATTACTCAGTGTTTGTTTAACCCAGCAACACCGCCATGTTAGTATTGTTTGTTTGTCCACAGTTGGTGTTGAGCAACTGCTGTGTCCTGACATTTGTCCTGACCGGTCACTCGGGGGATGTGGAGAAAATCATCATCGATAAATCCATGGTTGCCAAGTTTAACTCAGATACTATATCTGATGGTGGGTGATGTTTGTTGGTGATTCTAACTTGTGTTGAGAATAATACCGAATTTGTTCTTCTGACTTCTAACTCATATTTGTCTTATTATGGAAACATTTATGTCTATCTAATTACTTCCTTTTCTGAACATTTGGGGAAAAAAGACTTGCATATGATAGTAACATGTGACAGTTGTGATTTCCCTTTCCACTGAATTACAACTGGAGGCTGGAAAGTAAACATTACTGATGAGAATGGTAAAACAAGTTACAAACTTTCCGTCCAGAGTTGTGTCCCTTGATCATGTCACGCTCAAATGATAATAGGTTACATCACTCACTCACTCACTCACTCACTCACTCACATATTATACTTCTTGACATTGAAGAGTGTTAAATATTGTGTGTAATTGTATGTCTTGAACCTTTTGTATCCACTTGTCGTTCATGTGCTACAGTGTATTCTCACTTATCTCCAGTGTATCTAACTGACCAGTTCCTGGTTGCGTGTCACTATGACTGCTGTAAGCTGGACTATGCCCACTTCACCAAGAGGCCTCCCCCTCACTGAGGCTGCCAAACGAATTGACAAGTTGTCTACCTGGGAACCTAAGGTGTGCTACAGTTTCTGTAACATGGGGTCAAGTATATTGTTCTCAGGGTCACATCTTAGGGATGGAACAGTTAGTATGGTGAAACTCTTCAATAATGTATTGCCAAATAGTAATACAATAATGGTATGTTGAAGTACTACTGCAATTTTGAAATAAATCCTTTATAATCACCAATCCTACATATTTGTCTTAATACGTTTGATTTTATCTGTATACATCATCATGTTCCATGCCTGAAATAATTCAACATATGATTGATACAGATTGTCTACAAATCCAGTTTAGACTGAAAAATCATGAATTCTTTTCTCAAACTTTCTCCACTTTTTTTGTATATTTTCCCTGCTATTAAAAAGAAACTTTGATAAGGTAGTACAAATTTGATTGTTTAACAATTTGACATTTCAGTCCATCCAGCTGGACCTGCCTGGCCCCAAGGGAAGAAGACTGGAGAGACGCTTCTCTAGCAATATCCACAATGATTTGGTAGAGACTGAATTTATTAACCTTTTCCTTTAATTGTGTTTTCATCATATATAAAGTTACATGAAATTACACACATGAATTAGTTCTGTACGACCTAAATCTTTTAACATTATTTCACAAGTGAGTGATCATCTGAGTCAGTGAATGCGTGCATGCGTGAGTCAGTGAGCGAGTCATAGAGTGTGTCAGTGAGTGAGTGAGTGAGTGAGCGAGCCATAGAGTGAGTCAGTGAGTCAGTGACTGAGCCATGGAGTGAGTGAGTGAGCCGTAGAGTGAGTGAGTGAGCCATAGAGTGAGTGAGTCAGTGATTGAGTGAAGCAATGAGTGAGGCAGTGAGTGAGTGTGTGCGTGAGTCAGCGAGTGAGCCATAGAGTGAGTCAGTGAGTGAGTGAAGCAATGAGTGAGACAGTGAGTGAGTGAGTGCATGCATGAGTCAGCGAGTGAGCCATAGAGTCAGTGAGTGAAGGAATGAGTGAGGCAGTGAGTCAGTGAGCCATAGAGTGAGTCAGTGGAGTGAGTGAGTCAGTGAGTGAGTCAGTGCAGTGAGCCATAGAGCCAGTGAGTCAGTGGGAGTGAGCCATAGAGTGAGTGAGTGAAGCAATGAGTGAGACAGTGAGTGAGTGCGTGCATGTGTCAGCGAGTGAGCCATAGAGTGAGTGAGTGAATCAGTGAGTGAGTCAGTGAGTGAGTGCATGTGTGAGTCATAGAGTGAGAGTGAGTGAGTTCAACGTATGAAACTAACGGTTGTCTCAAAATAACAGCTTGCCTCTAATTCTTATATTGTCATCCTTTTGCTGTCAGGTAGTTTTAATGCTGACATGGGGCTTCTATTCCAAGATGTCTTGTATTTCAGCTGTTGGTGTGGTGGTACAAGTCGAGTGATGAGGCATGGCCTTGGACTCCTATGTCTGGGGATAGAGAGCGGGCAAACCTTATGGTAATGTCCGTCAATGGGTAAGCACACTTTACAAATATCCAGATTCTTTGCACTAGAAGTCATGTTTGAGTAGCATCATGAAGTGTGGTTACGTCAAGCACAGTACATTGAAGACTTCCTTAGAAACTATGTCCTTTTCTCAACAAGTTAATGAAAAGATGGATTCTCTGTGCATTTTCATGCTATGTGAAACAATAAGATGTGTTGAGTAATCTAAAGCATAATCTTTGTGAAAGCAAGCAAACACAGTTCATACGATCATTGTTTTGTTCATCGTGTTGCAGCCCCAATCCAGATGTGTTGACATACACCAAGACAGAATGTGACCCTGTACATGCTGCATTTAGGTGAGTCAGGATGTAGACTGAGTTGATGATGTATAGACAGTGTCATAAGGCAAACTTATACTGTGCTGCTGTGGAAAGTAACAACTAATAATTTAAACAAAGGTTATAGTAGGTTCAGCTATCACACTATAATGTAGTTTTGATCCCAGAAGGGTATCAGATTGCAACCCAGCCAAATTTCTTGCAAAGTATTTAAATTCAATTCAGATATCTCTTTTGTGTAAATATTGCACAGAGGGAATGAATCAGATCACCTTCATCTGGACCTTATATGGTCACCAGATTATGGAAATTCAAACATATTCATAGCTAGGTCAAAACTGAGAACTTTGAACCATTTTGCGGCACAATCTGTACATTCACTGTGTATTATAAATACATGGACATTGTTGTAGTTATGTGAATACTGTTACCTTGAAGTACTGTAGGTTGGCAGTGGTTATTTATGAGATTATGCATGTGAGACAAGTATATGTTGAGATGTGAGATGAAGTTCTGCTTCTGTATCAGTGCTATCCAGCCTCACAAGATCTACACTGTGGAACAAGCTCTGTCTTCCAAGGGTGACACAGTGGCACAGGCATGCATTTATGAAGTAGTTCGAGGGAAGGTAGGTTCTGTAGTCTTTACTCTAAACACGTATGCATGTGTCAACAGAAATGTACATTGAAATCCTGGCAAACTACATGGCAAGCCACAAATCCCTTACTATAAGCAAGTAATTCTCTCATCCGGGGCCCGCAACACCTCGAAGTGGTTACACCATGTTCCAAAATCGTTGTGCAACAACCACTTGGTTGCCTCGCCCAGATGAAGAATGTAATAGAAGAGGCTAGATAATGAGCCAATTAAGTTATTGACTGTTGAAGATTACCAGTACAGTATTTTGAAGAAGTTATGCAGACTGAGGATGCTCGGATGTTAAGTGCCTTTGTCCAGATCCCAGTAGATCCAGTCTAGGATCGTTCTGCTGCATCACTCAAACTTCTGTCAGTCACCATTTTTGAGAATGAAGCGATGGCAGCCAGTGATTGTAGCCGGTACTTCATTGTCCACTTGCAACTGATTGGCTGTTGACAAAACACCCCAAGCATGTGGCTCAAAGCATTACTTTGGTCTCCAGCAACAACCACAGTGGTGGTTCAGTTAAGAGTTAAGTCCCTTGAACATGCCAGGAACATGTTTCTAGGTGTGTTTGCATCATATCTGCTTCACTTTAGGCTTTCGTCCCACGTCAACAGTGACACCACTCAAATACTGTTCAATGTGGTGTTAACCTAACTCAAACACTCTTTCTGACTAAGGGTTGGTGGGGTAGCTTAGTGGTTAAAGTGTTTGCTCATCATGCTGAAGGCCCAGGTTCGATTCCCCACATGGGTACAATGTGTGAAGCCCATTTCTGGTGTCACCTTCCCTGAAATTGATGGAATATTGCTAAAAGAGACGTTAAACAATGCCCACTCACTCACTCACTCACACCACTCACTCCTCTCCACTCCACTCCACTCCGTTCCAATCTTTCTTCTTCTTTTTTTCAGATACAGAGAGTGTCAGTCACCAACATTCCTCTTAAAGGTATTGTATCAAACTAATTCATTCCATAAAAACAATTGCACTTTTACAATATGGTACTGGATAGTGATATCAGTCTAAATTCTTTAATGTAACTGGAAATGGTTTTGAAATGGAACTTTTTCATCATTGTACATGTAACATAGGTGACATGTTGTGTTTGTGCTCTTGGATGAAGTGAAGTGACGAACCAAGTTGTATTTCAGCTAGTGTCCTCTGTCAGTGCCGGAATCCATCGGAGGATAAACTTCTTTTGGGATGTAGTGACGCCTCTTTGGTAAGGTTTCAGTTTCAATTTGAGTTTTTATGCTTTAATTTCATGATCTGTTTAAAGTTAAATCAAAGGTATAAGTTTGTTGTGAACACTCAGAAGATGTGAGTGTTATACGATATCTGCCAATTTGAATATTCTTCATTAAAATGTGACCTATGGGAATTCCGGGTTACAATTGGTTCCCTGAAACTCTTGCTGTACTGGATGACAGCATGGAGCAGGCTTGTAAAACATTGTGACTTTATTTTACCATGTCTGGTCCAGACTCAGTTATTTACAAGCTTCACTCGTGAAACTTGAATAAAGCAGAGCAGTGGTATACAAACAAACAAACAAATATTTACCTGTGCATTTCTTGGTTTATTGCAGGTGATGTATGATGAGCACAGGAAACTCACCCAGTTTACACGGGCAGCAGTGGTGAGATATTTCATAATACATGATAAAACACATACTACCAATAGAATAAAATGAAGAATTACTTTGTTAGTCTTTCACTGGGTTAATTTGTTCTCTTTTCTTACACGGTGAGACAGTTAATATGAATATCAGTTTCAGTGCTGGTATGAGTCTATATTTTCAAATGCTTTTTTAATTGTCAGTTGCCGTCGGTGATGTCCTGGCACCCTGGGGGTACAGTTGTGTTTGTGGGGAGTGCAAGAGGAGATGTACAGGTGAGTGATGTCCTGGCACCCTGGGGGTACAGTTGTGTTTGTTGGGAGTGCAAAGGTGATGTACAGGTGAGTGATGTCCTGGCATCCTTGGGGGTACTGTTGTGTTTGTGGGGAGTGCAAGAGGAGATGTACAGGTGAGTGATGTCCTGGCACCCTGGGGGTACAGTTGTGTTTGTGGGGAGTGCAAGAGGAGATGTACAGGTGAGTGATGTCCTGGCACCCTGGGGGTACAGTTGTGTTTGTGTGGGAGTGCAAGAGGAGATGTACAGGTGAGTGATGTCCTGGCACCCTGGGGGTACAGTTGTGTTTGTGTGGGGAGTGCAAGAGGAGATGTACAGGTGAGTGTTGTCCTGGCACCCTGGGGGTACAGTTGTGTTTGTGGGGAGTGCAAGAGGAGATGTACAGGTGAGTGTTGTCCTGGCACCCTGGGGGTACAGTTGTGTTTGTGGGGAGTGCAAGAGGAGATGTACAGGTGAGTGATGTCCTGGCACCCTGGGGGTACAGTTGTGTTTGTGGGGAGTGCAAGAGGAGATGTACAGGTGAGTGATGTCCTGGCACCCTGGGGGTACAGTTGTGTTTGTTGGGAGTGCAAGAGGAGATGTACAGGTGAGTGATGTCCTGGCACCCTGGGGGTACAGTTGTGTTTGTGGGGAGTGCAAGAGGAGATGTACAGGTGAGTGATGTGGCACCCTGGCACCCTGGGGGTACAGTTGTGTTTGTGGGGAGTGCAAGAGGAGATGTACAGGTGAGTGTTGTCCTGGCACCCTGGGGGTACAGTTGTGTTTGTGGGGAGTGCAAGAGGAGATGTACAGGTGAGTGTTGTCCTGGCACCCTGGGGGTACAGTTGTGTTTGTGGGGAGTGCAAGAGGAGATGTACAGGTGAGTGATGTCCTGGCACCCTGGGGGTACAGTTGTGTTTGTTGGGAGCAAGCAAGAGGAGATGTACAGGTGAGTGATGTCCTGGCACCCTGGGGGTACAGTTGTGTTTGTGGGGAGTGCAAGAGGAGATGTACAGGTGAGTGATGTCCTGGCACCCTGGGGGTACAGTTGTGTTTGTGGGGAGTGCAAGAGGAGATGTACAGGTGAGTGATGTCCTGGCACCCTGGGGGTACAGTTGTGTTTGTGGGGAGTGCAAGAGGAGATGTACAGGTGAGTGATGTCCTGGCACCCTGGGGGTACAGTTGTGTTTGTGGGGAGTGCAAGAGGAGATGTACATGTGAGTGTTGTCCTGGCACCCTGGGGGTACAGTTGTGTTTGTGGGGAGTGCAAGAGGAGATGTACAGGTGAGTGATGTCCTGGCACCCTGGGGGTACAGTTGTGTTTGTTGGGGAGTGCAAGAGGAGATGTACAGGTGAGTGATGTCCTGGCACCCTGGGGGTACAGTTGTGTTTGTGGGGAGTGCAAGAGGAGATGTACAGGTGAGTGATGTCCTGGCACCCTGGGGGTACAGTTGTGTTTGTGGGGGAGTGCAAGAGGAGATGTACAGGTGAGTGTTGTCCTGGCACCCTGGGGGTACAGTTGTGTTTGTGGGGAGTGCAAGAGGAGATGTACTGGTGAGTGATGTCCTGGCACCCTGGGGGTACAGTTGTGGTTTGGGGGAGTGCAAGAGGAGATGTACAGGTGAGTGATGTCCTGGCACCCTGGGGGTACAGTTGTGTTTGTGGGGAGTGCAAGAGGAGATGTACAGGTGAGTGATGTCCTGGCACCCAGGGGTACAGTTGTGTTTTGGGGGAGTGCAAGAGGAGATGTACAGGTGAGTGTTGTCCTGGCACCCTGGGGGTACAGTTGTGTTTGTGGGGAGTGCAAGAGGAGATGTACATGTGAGTGATGTCCTGGCACCCTGGGGGTACAGTTGTGTTTGTGGGGAGTGCAAGAGGAGATGTACAGGTGAGTGATGTCCTGGCACCCTGGGTGTACAGTTGTGTTTGTGGGGAGTGCAAGAGGAGATGTACAGGTGAGTGATGTCCTGGCACCCTGGGTGTACAGTTGTGTTTGTGGGGAGTGCAAGAGGAGATGTACAGGTGAGTGATGTCCTGGCACCCTGGGTGTACAGTTGTGTTTGTGGGGAGTGCAAGAGTGAGATGTACATGTGAGTGTTGTCCTGGAGTGCTGGAAGGTACAGTTGAGTTTGGGGGTGCAAAGAGGAGAGGAGATGTACAGGTGAGTGATGTCCTGGCACCTGGGGGGGTACAGTTGTGTTTGTGGGGAGTTCAAAGAGGAGATGTACATGTGAGTGTTGCCCCTGGCACCCTGGGGGTACAGTTGTGTTTAATAAGGAGTGCAAGAGGAGATGTACAGGTGAGTGTTGTCCTGGCACCCTGGGGGGTAAGTTGTGTTCCAATGGGACAGGAGAGATGTTTGTGAAGGAGTGCCTGGCAGAGGAGTTCAATGTCAGGGAGTTAAGAGGGTGTACATGTGAGTGTTGTCCTCCAGTTGTGTTTGTGGGGGAGTGCAGAGGAGATGCACCCTGCACCCTAGAGGGGGAGTACAGTTGTGTTTGTGGGGAGTGCAAGAGGGAGATGTACAGGTGAGTGTTGTGTGGGGAGTGCAAGAGAGATGTACAGGTGAGTGATGTCAGTTGTGTTTTGTGGGGAGTGCAGAGGAGATGCATGTGAGTGTTGTCCCTGCACCCTGGGGTGTGTACAGTTGCACCCCAGGGGTACAGTTGTGTTTGTGTGGGGAGTGCAAGAGGAGATGTCCACAGGTGAGTGTTGTCCTGGCACCCTGGGGGTACAGTTGTGTTTGTGGGGGAGTGCAAGAGGAGATGTACATGTGAGTGTTGTCCCTGGCACCTGAGGGGTACAGTTGTGTTTGTGGGGAGTGCAAGAGGAGATGTACATGTGAGTGTCCTGGCACCCTGGGGTGTACAGTTGTGTTTGTGGGGAGTGCAAGAGAGATGTACAGTGTTGTCCTGGCACCCTGGGGGTACAAGTTGTGTTTGTGGGGAGTGCAAGAGAGATGTACATGTGAGTGATAACCTGGCACCCTGGGGGTACAGTTGTGTTTGTGTGGAGGGCAAGAAGGTAAGTACATGTGAGTGTGTCCAGGCACCCTGAAAGAGGTACAGTTGTGTTTGTGGGGAGTGCAAGAGGAGATGTACATGTAGTGTTGGCACCTGGGGAGTGATTTGTGCACCCTGGGGGTACAGTTGTGCAAGAGGTTAAGTGGGGAGTGTTGTCCTGGCACCCTGGGGGGTACAGTTGTGTTTGTGGGGAAGTGCAAGAGGAGATGTACATGTGAGTGTTGTCCCGGCACCCTGGGGGTACAGTTGTGTTTGTGGGGAGTGCAAGAGGGAGATGTACATGTGAGTGTTGTCCTGGCACCCTAGGGGGTACAGTTGTGTTTGTTGGGAGTGCAGGCAGAGAGATGTACAGGTGAGTGATGTCCTGGCACCCTTGGGGTACAGTTGTGTTTATGGGGAGTGCAGAAGAGGAGAGATGTACAGGTGAGTGTTGTCCTGGCACCCTAGAGAAGTACAGTTGTGTTTGTGGGGAGTGCAAGAGGAGATGTACAGGTGAGTGATGTCCTGGACCCCTGAGGCCCACAGTTGTATTTGTTAAGGAGTGCAAGAGAGAGATGTACATGTGAGTGTTGTCCTGGCACCCTAAGGGGGACAGTTGTGTTGTGGGGAGTGCAAGAGATGTACAGAGTGAGTGTTGTCCCTGGCACCCTGGGGAAGTACAGTTGTGTTTATGGGGAGTTCAAGGAGATGTACATGTGAGTGTTGTCCTGGCACCCTGGGGGTACAGTTGTGTTTGTGGGGAGTGCAAGAGGAGATGTACATGTGAGTGTTTGTCCTGGCACCCTGAGGGGAGTACAGTTGTGTTTTGGGGAAGTGCAAGAGGAGATGTACATGTGAGTGTTGTCCTGGCACCCTGGGGGGTACAGTTGTGTTTGTGTGGGAGGGGCAAAAGGTTAAAAAGTACAGGTTAGTGATGTCCACCCTGGGGTACAGTTAGTGTGTTTGTGTTTGTGCAAGGGAGTGCAAGAGGAGATGTACAGTTGTGGTGAGTTCAAGAGGAGATGTACATGTGAGTGTTGCCCCTTGCACCCTGGGGGTACAGTTGTGTTTGTGGGGAGTGCAAGAGGAGATGTACAGGTGAGTGTTGTCCTGGCACCCTGGGGTACAGTTGTGTTTGTGGGGAGTGCAAGAGGAGATGTACAGGTGAGTGTTGTACAGTACAGTGGTGTTTGTGGGGAGTGCAAAGAGGGAGATGTACATGTGAGTGTTGTCCTGGCACCCTGGGGGTACAGTTGTGTGTTTGTGGGGAGTGCAAGAGGAGATGTACATGTGAGTGTTGTCCTGGCACCCTGGGGGTACAGTTGTGTTTGTGGGGAGTGCAAGAGGAGATGTACATGTGAGTGTTGTCCTGGCACCCTGGGGGTACAGTTGTGTTTGTGTGGAGGGCAAAAGGTTAAGTACAGGTTAGTGATGTCCTGGCACCCTGGGGGTACAGTTGTGTTTGTGGGGAGTGCAAGAGGAGATGTACATGAGTGTTGCCCTGGCACCCTGGGGGTAGAGTTGTGTTTGTGGGGAGTGCAAGAGGAGATGTACATGTGAGTGTTGTCCTGGCACCCTGGGGGTACAGTTGTGTTTGTTGGGAGTGCAAGAGGAGATGTACAGGTGAGTGATGTCCTGGCACCCTGGGGGTACAGTTGTGTTTGTGGGGAGTGCAAGAGGAGATGTACAGGTGAGTGATGTCCTGGCACCTGGGGGTATAGTGTGTTTATGGGGAGTGCAAGAGGAGATGTACATGTGTGAGTGTTGTCCTGGCACCCTGGGGGGTACAGTTGTGTTTGTGGGGAGAGGAGATGTACAGGTGAGTGATGTCCTGGCACCCTGGGGGTACAGTTGTGTTTGTGGGGAGTGCAAGAGGAGATGTACAGGTGAGTGATGTCCTGGCTCCCTGGGGGTACAGTTGTGGTTTGGGGGAGAGCAAGAGGAGATGTACTGGTGAGTGATGTCCTGGCACCCTGGGGGTACAGTTGTGTTTGTGGGGGGGAGATGTACATGTGAGTGTTGTCCTGGTACCCTGGGGAGTACAGTTGTGTTTGTGGGGAGTGAGATGTACAGGTGAGTGATGTCCTCCTGGGGGTACAGTTGTGTTTGTGGGGAGTGCAAGAGGAGATGTACAGGTGAGTGATGTCCTGGCACCCTGGGGGTACAGTTGTGTGTTTGTTGGGAGTGCAAGAGGAGATGGGTACAGTTGTGTTTGTGGGGAGTGCAAGAGGAGATGTACAGGTGAGTGATGTCCTGTACAGGTGAGTGTTGTCCTGGCACCCTGGGGGTACAGTTGTGTTTGTGGGGAGTGCAAGAGAGGAGATGTACAGGTGAGTGTTGTCCTGGCACCCTGGGGAGTACAGTTGTGTGTTTGGGGAGTTCAAGAGGGAGATGGTGAGTGTTGTGCAAGAGGAGATGTACATGTACAGTTGTGTTTGTGGGGAGTGCAAGAGGAGATGTACAGGTGAGTGATGTCCTGGCACCCTGGGTGTACAGTTGTGTTTGTGGGGAGTGCAAGAGGAGATGTACAGGTGCAAGAGGAGATGTACAGGTGAGTGTTGTCCTGGCACCCTGGGGGTTTGTACAGATGTACATGTGAGTGTTTTGTGGAGTGAGAGTGTGATGCAGAGGAGATGTACAGGTGAGTGATGTCCTGGCACCCTGGGATGTACAGTGTTGTCCTGGCACCCTGGGGGTACAGTTGTGTTTATGGGGAGTGCAAGAGGAGATGTTGTGTGTTGCACCCTGGGGAGTGCAGAGTGCAAGAGGAGATGTACAGGTGAGTGATGTCCTGGCACCCTGGGTGTACAGTTGTGTTTGTGGGGAGTGCAAGAGGAGATGTACAGGTGAGTGATGTCCTGGCACCCTGGGTGTACAGTTGTGTTTGTGTAGAGTGCAAGGGAGTGCAAGAGGAGATGTACAGGTGAGTGTTTTCATGGCACCCTGGGGGTACAGTTGTGTTTGTGGGAAGTGCAAGAGGAGATGTACAGGTGAGTGATGTCCTGGCACCCTGGGTGTACAGTTGTGTTTGTGGGGAGTGCAAGAGGAGATGTACTGGTGAGTGTTGTCCAGGCACTCAGAGCGTACAATGTTTTGGTTGGACACATGTCTCAATATAATAATAACAAAAATGTATAACTATATAATTACCTTGTGTAAAGCCTATTAAGAAAATGGAGCATTCTGATTTGCCTTTTTCAGCTCTATGACATGGCACTCAACCCTTTAAGAATAAGCCTTGTATCAGAAGAACCAGGATCAGAAAAATATCTAAGAATTAACAGGTTCTTCAGGTGGGGTTTTCAAACTCACTTTTCCTTTTGGTGAATGAGTGAGTGAGTGAGTTTAGTTTTACCAGACAATCCAGTGATCAACAGCATGAGCATCGATCTGCGCAATTGGGAACCGATGACATGTGTCAATCCAAGTCAGCTATGAGCCTGACCAGTCCCGATCCCCCTATCTGTTAGCGCCTCTACGACGAAAGCATTTTGTGGCAAGCTTGGGTTGCTGAAGACCTATTCTACCCCAGATCTTCCCTTTTGTTGAAAGTGTGCAGGGGTGGGTTAGTTTGGATGGTAAAAACGTAATGATGTCTGTAATCGATCCAATTATCACTATATTGAAATCTTTAATTCGATTCCATTTCAGATAAGAAAACAAATGTTTTACTTTACCTTTAAACACTTTGTGATTTATATTAGTTCATTTTTCAGAACAAACAATTTAACCCTTCTGACCTTAAGTAAAATATATAAAGATGTTTTCTGAACATGCTGCCCTAACTTCTGTTTATCTCTTGACCAGGGGCCCAGTGACCTTAACCCACATGGACTGGTGCCCCTTCAGCCCCCAGACAACAGACTGTGTCACAGATTATATGGATGCCTTGTTCCTCACATTTGACAAGTAAGATCTATTTTTTAAACAGGTCCATATCTAAACAAATTCATACTTTTTAACCAATTTTAAGGGTTTTGATGTCTTCTTCTAAATTGCACTGTTTTGCTCATCCAACATTAGTTTATTGTAGTTAGTGTGTGTGTGAATGAGTAGCTTTGTAGGAATTCTGAGGGAAAGTAGGTCCCCAGTGTTCCATGCCTGATGCAGGGCCAGTTGAAGTGGGGATTATATTCGTGTTGTGTGGTTGTTAATGTGTAACTGTGACCTGGCATATAGTTTCTCATGATGTTTGCCTTGTCCATATTTGTATATTTACAGGACACTTTGATGTAACTGTAATAATGCTGGTAAATCATAAAACAACATTTGAGAATGGAATTATTTGTAATTCATATGACCTCTTTGATAGGTATCTGTCTTTATATGTGTTCCAGGGGTCCGCCAGCTGTTTTGCTCTTCCACCTTGGCGTTGTGAGTCGGGAGAGATTATCTCCCCTTGAGCTGGTTAGAGAGTACCTCAAGCATAAACAGATTGATGAGGTACTGGTACAGTGCTAAACATGGATATTGTTTGCTCAGTTCAAGATAAAGCACGTTGGCCGAATGTTTCTTCAAGAATGGAAAAAGCATCACTTCACAGTGTCACAGTGTTTGAGTTAGAGCGTAACGATCAGTGTTTGAGACCCTTCTAGGAGTTGACTAGGCTTAGGCTTCAGACTCGGTGATAAAGTTGCCACCATGGCCATGTTTGAAACAAGAAGTTGATCCACTGAACACTTATGATCCCTGTCCCTTTTCTACAGCCAAACTAATGATTATAAGATTTTTGTGAACCAAGATAGTTAATTGAACAAAGAATTATCAATCTGTTATCATGATTATATTAAAAATTTATTACTCTAGTCTGTCGGTAGTTATAGTAGTTCCAGTCAAATGGTACATGAGTAATAGTGATTATCAGTGATGTTCTGTGGTGATTGAATTGATTAGACTAGATTGAACGCTGCCTTATGTGCTTGCTCTGCCCAGTTGAATGTCAGTGTTATGATGGAGTATGTTCGTGATGTGTGCAGGCAGTGGGTGTGTTGTCCAGCCTCAACTGGGACACAGACGGTCACACGTGCTACTCCTGTCTGTCTACAATAGTCAACAACCTACTGCGGATGCCCCTCAATGCTGACAGAGAAGGTAGAGATGTTAAATCAGAGAGTTGAAAACATACCTAATGCAACAAATAAATGGGATTTTCTTGGGGGAAAGTTTGGCATGCCTTCTACTCCAGGCATCAATGTTGCAGCAATTCGCGGTGGAGGTTTGTGTTGTTTAGACCTGCAAGAATAGTATAGTGGGTGACCAGATTCAACCTGATCGGGCATTCTAGAATTGCCTGAGAATTCAGTGGTAAAATAAGGGAAGAGAGGTAAATACTGTGCAAGAGTGGTGGGAGTACAAGAATGATAAACATATGGAAAGAATGGTAAACATAAGGGAAGAATGGTAAACATATGGGAAGTGTGGGAATCCAAGCTTCTGGGATTTGTTAGTCTGAAAAGTTCTACAAATTGCTTTTGGAATTTTACCATGTGGGTTATCAGGCTTTCACTGTGTATACATGTATAAGTGTAAGAATGAATCACCCTGAATGGCTACATGGCAAACTTGAGATTTAATCGTCATGTTGATCTTGCAGCTCAGCTTGAAGCCACTCTTGGTACATTCTATGCTCCTAAACCTGCTATATCTGAAGTAACAATACTGGAGTACAGAGACCCCATCAGCAGACTAGCAAGACGATTCTTTCATTACTTACTGAGGTAACGTGTACATCAGTTAGTGTAATAGGAGACTTATACTGTAATTTGCCATTACAGAAAGTGGCAAAAGTCTAATGCGGCACATTTGGTATCAAATTTAGGCCTTTCATTTTTTTATTAGGTATTAGCTTCTCAAAATTTGATGCTAATGGTCTGAAAATGATGAAACTATTGTCTTCAACCTATAAAGATATATACATGTTTTAGTTTCCCCAACATGACCCTAATCTGCAAACACCTGAAACCAGTTTCCTCATTTTCTAGAGCTGCATCATAGCTTTTATTACCTTCGAGGTATTTTGTGCCCCAAGCATACAATCACTGCGCTTTGCCATAGATATGGGAATTGTCTCTTTTCGAAAGCTATAAATCACATCGATTATAAGTCATTTGATAGTAATTGTGAACCAGTCTTCTCGTAACATATTATCACAAGTCCATTGCATTTTTCTTGAAATATTTTTCTTATGAACATGATGAAGCAACTAGGATAAATGTAAAGAACTCTGAAGTATTTCACATCATTGCAGGTATGCTCGATTTGACAAGGCGTTCCTTTTAGCTGTTGATATCGGTGCCAGGGATCTGTTTATGGTGAGTTTGAAACCTTTATATGGATTGGAATTGTTAAATCTATTCTGAATTAGGATTTGAGACCTGGCCATTTGAAGACTGTTTTCTCTCCATGGTGATGTATGTTACAGGACATCCACCATATGGCCCTAGACAAGGGGGAGACAGCTCTTGCAGAGGTGGCCAAGAGGAAGGCAGAACAGGTGGACTCTGAGTCACTTGGTAAGAAGGGATGTCACAAGGCTTGTAAAACCAGGTGGATAAAGACAGGTGGATCAGATGGTATGACTTGAGAAAGGGGATCAGGTGGTGTGACCTGAGAGGGGATCAGATGACAACTGAGAAAGGGGATCAGGTGGTGTGACTTGAGAAAGGGGATCAACTGGAGAAAGGAGATCAGATGGGGATCAGGTGGTGTGACCTGAGAAAGGGGATCAGATGATACAACTGGAGAAAGGGGATCAGGTGGTATGACCTGAGAAAGGGGATCAGGTGGTGTGACCTGAGAAATGGGATCAGATGATACAACTGGAGAAAGGGGATCAGGTGGTGTGATGAGAAAGGGGATCAACTGACCTGAGAAAGGGGATCAGATGGTGTGACCTGAGATGGGAAGAAAGGGGTGGGGACCTGAGAAAGGGGATCAGGTGGTGTGACCTGAGAAAGGGGATCAGGTGGTGTGACCTGAGAAAGGGGATCAGGTGGTGTGTGAGAAATGACCAGAGAAAGGGGATCAGGTGGTGTGACCTGAGAAAGGGGATCAGGTGGTGTGACCTGAGAAAGGGGATCAGGTGGTGTGACCAGAGAAAGGGGATCAGGTGGTGTGACCTGAGAAAGGGGATCAGGTGGTGTGACCAGAGAAAGGGGATCAGGTGGTGTGACCTGAGAATGGGGATCAGGTGGTGTGATCTGAGAAAGGGGATCAGGTGGTGTGATCTGAGAAAGGGGATCACGTGGTGTGACCAGAGAATGGGGATCAGGTGGTGTGACCAGAGAAAGGGGATCAGGTGGTGTGACCAGAGAAAGGGGATCAGGTGGTGTGATCTGAGAAAGGGGATCAGGTGGTGTGACCAGAGAAAGGGGATCAGATGATACAACTGGAGAAAGGGAACCAGAAACCATGTGGTTTTCTATGGTACTGAACATGCAGTGTAGAATCATGTGCTGACAGGATATGATGGCGAATGGTTTGAATCACAGAATGGGGCTGCTTCACATCCTTGGTCTGTTGGGTATTTTGTCAAAATGGTCTACTACCGTCATCACTGTGGATGATATTTACACTTTAAGACATCACACTCTGATGTGAAGGAAGTGGTGTTTAAGGCAGCATTAAGCCAAACACGCTCACCAAGTAAAGTAAATTTTTGAAATGTGTAACAACAGCAACAGATAAAACACTTTTCTTGGAGATGATGTCAGTCCTAAACATCAAGCTTGCTATTACTGTGTCAGTACTCTACTTAAAGATGTTGAACTTTGCCTACTTGAAGTGAAGGAGGTGTGTAGGACTGTGGAGAAAAGAAGGCTACAGAGTGATTGTACTTTCAGATTCCTTTGATGGTTTGGATGAGGAGCTGTCTTTAGATGATGGTTATCACAATGGTGACCACAATCCTCAACAGGACCACGAGAATCTCCTTGACCAGGTGTGAATTCAGTTTAACTTATATTAATAATCCTCTTCCATTTGTCAAATGTTAAAAAAGTTCTTTTTCATTCCATGGCATGTACCAGATTACGTAATGGAGCCCTGATAGGTTTGAAAACTTCTCAGGAATGTAGATAGACACATTATGGAAATCTTTCACTTGGATGCCATTCAAACAGCTTTCACTCCATACAAGATCATAGCATTTGATTTCAGCAGTCTTGGTGATGTTGTTTGCTGATGAGCATTTTAAATTTCAATCTGGGCTTCACACTTATATTTCATGACACATTTTAGTTAAGCAGTCAGCACTGACATTATCATGGTGAGATTTACAGTAAATGCATTGCGTTTGCTTCTCAGCTACCACGGTCACGGCAGCACCCGTGGCAGAGTGAATACTACCGACAACAAGCATCCTCCTCCTCCCGCTCCCACCGCTTCATCGACACACAGCGACACAGGAACGGGTCTGTCAGAGGGTGAGGATGTAGTCTTCATATCTTTCAGCCAATCTGTCATGATTTGTTTTCATGTTTGTTTCTGGTAATCATATTTACAATCTCTATGTTGAGATACAAGAATTATAATTCATAGATTATTTATGCAAGTGACTTAATATGATCCAGGGCATGGTGAGAGGTCTTTATAATACCCATCTTTTCAACCATGTACAAAAGCAACTGACCATAATGAAGACAGCTCAATGACACTGTCTTTTACCAATGTCACAAGAAACTATCCCCAACGCCATGAACATTCTTCAGTGATAGATAGGTTGAACAAAGAATATGTTGAAATGTTAATATGCTGCTGTGGGCTCCTTCGCAATCAGTAGAACATTTAAACTATCAAATCAGTGTGGCAAATATTATGAAGCTGTGTGAGAATGCAAATAACTGCACTGATGTCGGATGCCACTGAGAGGTTAAAAATACTACCCATCAAAGGTTTAGACTCACTAGTGTAAATGTAGCCACTTACTTCAGTCAACTGTTCTAAACTAGATTTTGCAAAATATTCCATACTGTTTACACATGAACTGATGCATTGTAAAACAAATTTGTAACATTGAAAATATTATTGTCATGAGTTCAATCAATGATGAGACTCTGTGAAAATTGGTGAATTCTTAACAAAACTTTACACCAAAATGCAGCTGTTCACATGCATGATATTTGCACATGCTTTTCAGCAATCTGATGCATGATCCTCATGCAATTCATCTGCATAAGGTTTGCAGTTGGTTCCCCCAAGTTAGGGGAGAAATTCATATTCGATGTAACCTTATGTATATACATAACATATGGTGAGTGTTTTAAGTGAGTCTAAATTTTTGATGGGTAGTATATGTTGGTACTTAAAACGTCTTACTACAGTAGATCTGTGTGTGCAGGTACCAGCCCCCTGATGAAGAATATGAGATTGATGGCGATCTCATCCATGACTACACAGCTGCTCTGATGGACCAGCCTCCAAGGAGACAAGACCAAGGTTAGCTAGTTTGCCTGTTGTGAAAGGTTGTTCATTTCAACTAGCCTGCCCCTATAAGTCAGGTGTAGCTTAGTGGTTGAAGCCTTTGTTCGTTACGCCGAAGACCCAGGTTAGATTACCCACATGGGTATAATGAGTGAAGCCCATTTCTGGGGACCTCTGCAGGTATATTGCTAAAATTGGCATAAAACCATATACTCACCCAATGAAAGTGCAAGTTCATAATCATGATAACAGGCACAATGTCACACATTTTCGACAATATTTTGGCCTATATTATATATATTGGGCATATGCACTCACTTTGGCTTCCTATTAATGCAATAAAAGACTTATTATCCCTTACAACTTGCATGAAATCGATAATTGAAACTTCAAGTTCAAGGTGACAGCTTCCAAACACAGAACACTTGCCATATATGGAATGTAAACAATTGCTCCGTACATCGAAAACGGTCGCACACAGTGTTGTTGGTGTTTGCTGAAGTGGTTTCAATCACTAGGTGTTTGTAGGATATTTGTAAAGGGCACTCCAAGGGACATAACTCTATGGGGTTCGCTTAAAATATATTGTTCGGCCGGTAGAGGGTGCGAGCTTCAATTTAATGCAACGTCAACGTTGAATTAATTAATTCAAACTTATTAATTTAATATTGTAATCTAAAGATGTAAAAAAATGTTTTAATATATTATATGGTAGATTTCCTCAGGGCTGATAGTTACTATTATTGAGTGAAATGCATTATATATTTTTAGAGAAGTGTGGTGTGATATAGTTCCTTTATGTGGTAGGATAGTAATCTATCACTTTGCACAACCAGCTCTGTAGCTTATATGGATTCTGAAATAGGTAAAGTAATTGCCAATATTACACTGTTATCTTTTCAGGACACAGAGCAAGGAATGATCATGAAGTAAGTAGTGATCTGAATAAACTTTTGTACATCCTATGCTTATAGTAAGTTAATTTGGGATTTAATGCCAATTTGAACAGTATTTCAGGTTGTACACATTTATCACTTCAATGAAACAGACAAGAATGTGGATGTACAAACCAGGGAATATAATCAGCTCCATCTGTGAGATTTGAACCTGAAAATGATTCCTGGACGAAAAAACTGTTATCTCCTTTATGTATTATTGAACGTGAATAAAATCCTTCCTCGCAGTATCGCAAATATTGTCACAAACTAAACTGATAATTCTGTTTTAGGAAGAGGAAGAGGAGGGGAATGTCAAGGTCATACATTTTGGAGTTGTGTAAAAGTGGAACAGACTTTGGGACACAAGGGCAAGAGAGTACAAGGATTCATCTGCTGGCTAATATTTGTCCTCTAGTTCTTACACAATTTTCAGTGAAATTTCCTAAATTGAGTGAAAAAATTACTAACTTATGTTATAATGATGACATATATAACAGCTTCTGCAGAAGTGACATGTATTTCATCAACAAACAGAAGAGGATTTGAAATTCTGTTAGCAATAATTCACTTAAATCAAAATGATGCTCCTCTTGTACTCAGGAATTTGAGTCCTTATTTGTAACATACACATGATATACATTAACTTTTGTACATTGAACCGTCCATTATAAAGTTATATTTTTGTAACATTAAGAGATATTCACACACTTTAAAACTTTATAGGTGTTTTATGGGTACAGAAATTGTTAACCTTCTTTACTGTCCCAATATTTGCTTGTGACATGTTGAAATAATGTCTACTGATGGTCAAAAATCTGTGAAAAATCCTAAATATACAATTGACATACAATGACATTTACAAGAGATGGGTCAGTTCTCTCTACACGATGGGGATATTTATGCCATATTTCTTCATTATTCAGTGTAGACATTCAATGTGAGTCTCATCAAAATCAGATCTTTTACTTGGATACAATACCTCACCAGAAAGACAAGTTCTGATTTCCGTGCCTTGATTATAGTAAGAGAAATCTGCATTAAGGCTGTGCTATTATATGAAATGAAGTGTACCACAATCGTTATGGAAAGATGCCATATGATAAGCCCAAGAATCCACATATCCTTCAGAATATATTGGTCAGGGGTTACTTGATGTGTCCGCCAGTGGAGGCGTCTTCAGATCTTCCTGGTATCTCGTCAGTGTGAAAGATCTGATTCTAATGAGACTGGTCAATAAAGCAACATTTTCAACAGGAAAATATGCCATGTATCTTTGCATCGAACAAGTAGTCACATTCTGCCCTGTGTAAATACCTGCCAACAAGGTTGTATGTATATTCTCAATAATAAAATGTTTTGATAATAATTTCCAGTGTTTTTATGCATCAACATCATGATTTTGTACTGCACACATTACTTTGCACTTTACATTTCAACCCAAAATTGAAAACAAGAGGAGTTTGTATGATTTTACTCCACAGAACATTGTGTGGAAGTCATGCTTGCTGATCCAGTATCAGCCACCATAACTCTACTAATAGCTGCTTCCTGAGAGAATAGAACTCCCTGAAAGTGATCTTGTGAAGTTTTTTTTGGCAGTATGAGATAACTGTGTCTTTTATGCACTTGACTTGTGAGAACTAGCACTTGAGTCATTTCACAAAGACATAAGTATGAAATATATGGTACCTTACAGCAAGAATTGCACAAACAATTGGATATTTGTTTATATTTATTTTCGCACACATCCCATCCATACAAAACTGAAAGTAATATATTCCTAATGATCACGATGACACGTTTCAGGCTATGCATCTAAATGGTTTTTCAGAAGCTTCAGCAGATGGTCCTAACAGATGTCCTGTAGATTTGTACTTGAAGCCTTCTTCTAGCTTCTTCTGTTGTAACTGATCACAATTCAGATGCAGTAAATTGAAAACATCATCACTATAATCAGATTGTTAACACCCAACATAATACCCATGTTTAAAGATTTCAAGACACCTCCATAATTTGCATAATCATTTTATCAGTGTCTACATGTCTAAATTCTCAGTACAATGTGTATCTCAAAACAAACTTACGTGGATAGTTCCAAAATGTATATATAGTAAGCAGAGTCCCTGCCATCATATTGTGGACATCTGCACACTGTTTCTGACTGCCAAGACATCTGCATACCAAAGGGAGTACAATTTCCAAATTGCAGCTAATCGAGTTTTAGAAAGCTAACATCCAAATACTGATGCCTCTATTGATTCACATGTTCCAAAGGCAATCTGCTGATCCTTTGATAAAACACTAGATCCAGATCAAAGATCAGTCCTTTTGAAGCGACAATCCTAAACACATGCCACCTTATTTCTTCCTTCTCTCATCTCTGGCCTTCTGAATGGCATCTACTTCTGCATACAAATCCTTCAGACGTTTATCAGGAACATATCGGTCATTTTCCTCTTCTACATCGGGCTAAAAGATAAGTAAGGTTTTTGAGAGATCGACAATTGACTACAGTGAAATATATGGCCAAACAACCTGAAAAACTCTAGTTAAAACCTTTTCATTGCACTTTCATCCCATTCATGTTCATGTAAACCGCTTGTATTGGGACCGATCCTAAAGGTTTGAAATCCAGAAGTTTGGGACTGGGAATTTTTCATCCTACCAGCGAATGAGTGATCTCTAGAGAAAGCAATATTCCAGCCATATTACATTAGCATGTAAATCGTTAAGCCTGAACCAGGCAAACCATCACATTCATTTGAGGCTCAGTGACATGCAATGATGACTACTAGTAAACACAGTTGAAAGCTTTGAAGATTTCCAGGCTTCACTCAATCACTTTAAAAAAAAAGAGGAAAAAGATTGCAGTAAATACTTCCATTCATTTCACAATCTTAACAACCTTTATTAAATACACAGTATGTTGTAATTATATAATTATTGCCCATGTCAAGTACATTACAGAGTTACATACCTCTTTCACAGTGATATTTACTCCCATTGGCAAATGGCAACGGACTATGTCAAGAAATATTGGAAGCATGGTTGAAGGGACATCTTGTAACTGCAACAGAGAGCCAGCATTTTACTATGAACACTTGCAGATCGTAAACTAGATATGACTAATCAGAAAATTTGAAATCAGCTTCATAAATAATAAAAAAAAATCAACTTTAATTGAAATTCAGTTTTGCTTGAAACATCTTATTGATCATGATGTGATAGTAAGCATATATGGTTCTTTAAATCTGGCTATTGAACCTATGATAGCTTGTAATTCCCACCTGTACAGTCCTCTCGTATGTCCTCAAGTCGTACGTGTGCTGGATTACTTTAGAATTTGGTACATAGGTTTCGATGTGGGTTGCCTTTGATGGTGATGCCCACCTGCAGAACGTAATGTAACATGTTTACACAAAGGGAGCAGTTCAGAAGTTTGACATTCAATAAAATAAAATAAAACATACCTTCTTATCATGAGTACTATCACAGGCACCATACTTTCTGTCACTGTATCACAGTATGTTATTCAAGATGCATATCATTTGTACCTTGATACATTACTTTAAAGTCAATGTAAACTTTGGATGGACAGATTGCTGGATTATATTGGGAAGGCTATCCAAGCGAGGCAGAGAAAAGGCTTCACTAGGCAATATTTTACGTGCGCTTCTTTGGACACCTTTCATTCAACCTCACGAAGCGTAACCCAGTTCTTGATACATAACTAATTTGACTGGCATTTGACCTGACCCTGCTTCGATTGGAGGGTAAGTTTACCACGAGCCAGCGTTTGAACATTGATAATACAATATGATTTATAGCTACATGGTTGCAAAGTTGTATTTTACATTGGTAATTATACAAAGAAGGTGTGACTACTCAATTATTGTCCAAAATTGTCTTAATTATATTTTTTAAGTAGACATATTGTTTAGCTAAAATCAAGCGTGCTTATTCGACCACCTGGTCCTTTATTTATAAAGATGTTTTGGTTATTTTTTGGTGTCATTATTGCAATGAAAATAGAATTTAATCTCCTAGAAAGATCCTCTTCAGTAAACAACTATTATGAACTGAATTAAATATTGAAAACAAAATGTAAGTGGAATTTAGTAGATTAATTTTTCCTTTCAGGTTTCAAAATCCTGGCGGTGAATGCGATACATTCACTATGGACAGACTATACAAACCCGTTAAACCCAATATTTTAGTGGCGAAAGCACAAAACAGCTCGAATTCAATGAATTACTTAGACTTACATAACTTTGTACCAAGAAATGAAGGTACATATGGATGGGAAGCGTGCCAATATGACCATGATCATTTTGATTTGTGCACTGAGCCTTTGCACAACTCTCACTACCCTTATACATTGAAGTATGCAGTCAGAACCAGACTTGAGCGTTGTTACACAGGGCCTGGTTACCCACCAATTCCCGTTTGAGCATATATCTCGGTCTTTTCCCATCATAACTTTATTCGATCCACAGTTTAAGTTCATTCACCATACCCACGACATGTTATTCCAGAAAAGAATTATCATCCCACAATTTGCCAAATATGTGGCGAATCATTTGATAATCATCCTTATCAGCATATGGAATTATGGGAAATGACACCTCGATTATCAAAGTGTAGAGGGTAGAGCAATCAATATCCCTATCCGTCATCAATTGAAAGTTTGTCAACCTATTCAAATAAGACTAGATTTGTTGAAGAATCTACAAGCAGTAGTACTGATCAGGCTGAGATTGAAATCATCAATAAGAGGTATGTTATATGTATTAATAGAAGGGCCATAAGCGGTTAACCAGAATGTTATAGAATCAGGGTTTTGTGGATTTTTATAATGGTCTTTTTGCAGTTGATTTTTTTACTTTTCGATTATACAATATTCGAAAATGAACTGTTAAATACTGAACACTTGTAACTGTTCTGACTGGAAGGTATATCTTGCTTTTTCAGAATGTCTGCTCCCCAAACAGTCCAGCAAGTGACAGTTCTGTCGAGGCAGAAATATGGGTCTGCTACGAGTGTCAGCTATCAGCTATTGACCCCTCAAAACTTGAAACAGAACTAGTTTGTAGTGATAACACTGTTTTGACTGGCCTTAGATGGAACACTCTGGCTATACTGTGCATCATGCCACAGACAGTTCCATTTATTCTGTGTTGACAATCTGTCAGATAGTACAACCGTCCATGACATCAATTCTGATGGTTTTACTGGTGTTAAGCACTGTGGTTGGTATAAGTAACTGAGCAAATATGGCTGAGGAACAGTTGTTAGATTTTGGCAAAGGCATTGCCGATGTACCAGGAGCACTGGATGTTATTTCTGAATATTTTTGTACTGATGATAATAATGCAAGCAATAATGATGTATTGGAAGACTTTGCTGAAACATGCTTAGATTCTAGCCTCTGTACACCACCAGAATCACGGAGAGGATACTGTTAATGTGTCTGAATTAGATGTTGACAGCGATGTTGTTGAAGTGACTCTTCCAACTCTGTCTATACCCTTATCCCATTCTGATTGTGAACTGGAGGTGCAATCCTTTATTGAAAGTGGGTGTTGTGCATGGAATTGCACAAAAAGTTTCCACTTGATATGATTCAGGAGTCAAGACTGGATTGTCTTGAATTTGATTTTTATTGTGATAATCCGTTAATCATCATCATATCTTAATGCTTTCGGAGCATTGAATACCCTTGTACAGAACCAGCCTCATACCGTGAAGAAAGGTCATGCCCTCAGCCAGAAAAAGGAGACCAGAACAACGTACATGTTCAGAGGTGTCACAGTTTGTCGAGAATTTTTTCATGTTTGTTTTGGGTGGGTATTAAAGCGTCTTAAAAGCGTCCAAAGAGCATATGTTAGTTTCTGGAATAAATGCCAGAAACATGGCAGGGCAGATAAAACCAATCAATCAACATGTCTCACATTAGAACAGCGAAAAAAGGCTGTACAGTTCATTGAAAACTATGGTGAGCAGAATGCCTTAGTGATGCCTGCAATGGCATTTAGGAAGGAAAACACTGACTTAAAACTTTTGCCTCTCACATGACCAAAAAGCTTGTATCACGGAAAATCACGAAGATCGTGTCATGACACTGGCCGAGGAACCCGTGTCAGTTTACACATGGTATGCAACATGGATGTTGTTTTGTTCCCCACATTGTTATCCAAAGACCAAGAACAGATCTGTGTGCTGTTTGTCAGCAGAACAGTATGACCATGTCGAAACTCAAGACTTTCTGCGACAATAAAAAGCGAACTTGCCAAAAGAGTTGTAGAACATATTGACCAAGTGGCGTCTGAGCGTGGATTCTACATTTCGATAATTGGCGAATGTCGTCAAGGCGTTGAACTGTTGACACCCGAACTGACCCTTTAAGCCCCATCAGCTACTGACATACAAAGGTAAAATGCATCAGAGTTTGATTTTGCTCAGCAAGTGTTTTGCCACAGGATTCTCAACAGGTTGGACCTTTATACTTTCTATGTGGCTACAAGGTTGGACTCTTTGGAATTGCATTAGAACCACTCAGGAAATTTGTCCTTTACATTATACCTGAGGCAGCTCATTGTGGGAAAGGATCAAATGTGGTTATCTCACTTCTTCACCACTTCTACACAAACTTTAGTGTAGGAGAAACCGACTTCGCTGTGTCATGCTGACAACTGCTGTGGTCAGAACAAGAACAATTTCATGATGCAATACTGTCTTTGGCGTACAGCTACAGGTCAGAACCAGTCATTTCAGATCAGCTTTATGCCTGTTGGACACACCAAGTTTTGGCCAGATCTGTTGTTTGGATTGTTTAAGAAGCGATGGCGGCGTGAACGAGGCTTCATCAGTGGCAGATGTACAGAGAATAGCAAGAGAGTGTTGCCCAGGAGCGTCTTCCCTGTTGCTGTCGGGGATGAAGCTGGCCACACTTCGTGCCGATATATGACTGGCAGTCTAAGTTCAAGGCACATGGATTCCACAAAATACCTGAGATAAAGAAGTTTCACCATTTCTTCTTCACAAACCAGTCACCAGGGATTGTCAGCTGCAAAACAAGTTTGAACAGCGATAGTGTCCGTTTCACAGTTGGTGAAGTTGCTACACTGGACAAATCGCTCCCAAACATCATCCATCCAGTAGGATTGAGTTATGCCAGGAAGCTGTACCTGTACAATTCTATCAGACAGTATGTTCCTGATGACTCAAAAGATACACTTTGTCCTCTTCCGTGTGCAGTCACTGCATATGTACCACCTGAGCCCACTCGCGGAACCGGGACATCAATGGTTCAGGATCGCCAGAATGATGATGGACCAACCAACAAAGATAATAAACAAACAGACACAGTGCAAATTGAACCATTTGTGTTTGAACACCAGAAAAAAGGCGTAAAACCCCAACTTGTTCTTACTGTCTCCAGGCAGGTCACAGAAATCAAACAATCAGGGGGGTAGGTTGGTCTGTCCTAAAAGACGGGAAGACATTATGAAACCAGCCACTGCAGACCATATGGATACTGATTGATCGTAACATTATGTTGAACTGTTCAAGGAGGCATGGGTGGCATTCCAGGGTCTCCGTTTGTCATTAAGGTTCTATACATAAAAGTATCTGAAATTCAAGCACCATTTCAGTTGTTATTAACCAATGTAGAGAGTTGGTTTCACGGCGTTTTAACGGTATCTCATTGCAAACTAGTATTAATTCAATGGGTGAGTGAGTGAGTTTAGTTTTACGCCTCATCAAGCAATGTTCCAGCTATATGGCGTCGGTCTGTAAATAGTCGAGTCTGGACCAGACAATACAGTGATCAACCGAATGAGCATCGATCTGCGTGGGGAACCCGATGACCTCGTCAACCAAGTCAGCAAGCCTGACCACCCGATCCTGTTAAGTAAACTGCTTCACGACAAGCATGTATTACTGAAGCTCAATATTCTAACCCGGATCGTCATGGGTAAATTCAGTGGGAAGGCTTGCAACTACACAGTTGTGAACAGTGGAACCTGCTGTTGCAACTTTAGTCTTCATATCATGCATTGCACAATAGTGTCACTACATGAGAAGATATCTAGATCCCAGTAGGATTCGGACCAAAACCGTTTGATCAAAATCACGACCACTGTCTCTCCCAAAGTCTTTGTAACCTCAGAATGCATGCAATCAAAGAAATCAAATTAATATAACTTTGTTTTGTATGTCTAGGTATCCAGTTGTTCGTCTAAAATAACCACACGTTTATGACTTGTTATCTACCAGGTGTATTGGGTAAATAAAATATTCATGCATAATCATAAAAACTTAAGCTAAAAAGGGACCACTTCGACCATTACGCATGCGCGCGCTATTTGAACAGATGAAAATAAAATTCGTTTTTGCTTTATCACACCTTATCTGTTAACAACACACATTCAAATGAGCACACGGTAACTTCATACTTATAATTGTTTTATGGCTGAAAGAATACACGCATCTCTTTTAACCCGTATTTTCTCACTGAAGCATTTCTACCAACTTCTAACCCCACCATCATTTAACTGGGCACTACATTGTCAGTTTAAAAGATATCGGGTTAATTCATTTTGCATTTATTGGGGGAAAGCTTGTAGATTATGAATCTGTCCTTATCTCAATACCGACCATGTGGTCCCTTTACCGGTAGCCTTCCCCATATTGTGAAATGATAACACAATATTGGGTGAGTGAGAGTCCGGTTTTACACCGCTTTTAGCAATACTCCAGCAATATCATGGCGGGGACACCAGAAAGAGGCTTCACACATTGTACTCGTGTGTGGAATCAATCCCTGGTCTTCAGCATGATGAGCAAACACTTTAACCACTAGGCTACCCCACCGCTCCCAAAAATTGGATGAAGCGTATCAAGTACAGTCAAATCTCGATGAGTCGAATCGCTGGGGACCAAGTAATAAATTCGACTTATCCATGTATTCGAGACATAGGTATGTCTATGAGGGTAGAAAAAGGATGATCCAGTCCTAATTCCTCTGCCTAAGCATTTGTTTATCTAATGATTTCCATATCACTTATAGGGGCACCTTATCAGTTCCAGTCTGATTAGCACAGACAGTGATTTCCGTAAAATCACTAATCTGCCTTTTGAACTCACCCGTCAATGGCGGAAAGGTGTGAGCCACGCTAGTTTGTTAATTGGATCAGTTTGCTACACCAATCAACTTCTCATTGACTGACTTCGGCTTATGTATACAAGATTGCTGTTGTTTGAATCTCATGGGACCAACTTTCCTTTTCGAGTCATCGTGTGTATTTATGAGACGAATTCGTGTAACCGGTATTCAAATGATGACAACTATAACAGGGAATGGTCGGGACCGACAGCTAGTTCGAGTTATGCATAATATTCGAGACACTGGCATTCGACTCATCGGGATTTGACTGTATTGTTAAGGCTGACAGAGTTGTGAAGTGCATCATGCCATTTTCACCTTCCTCTCTTCAATTATCTACATAAACGTCATTTCAAAGATTGGATGTCACACTGAACATTCCCTTCTTGTATCACATCAGGAATAATTGCATGTGATTTGTGAAACAATTCATGGTAACTGTCATTACAAATAAATGACTATGTCTGATACATATTAGACTAGCACACTCCGGCACAGCGATGACTTAACATAACATCACTGCCACAGGCTAATTTGCATATCACGTGACCGGACTTTTCTCTTGTTTGTAATCAAACGCGCATATTCATAATAAGAAGAGACTGAACTCACGAAAGCTTTTCGGCGCTCTCTTCATAATGTTTTACATTGTTACATATATATTCTTCCACAACTGCAACAGTTAGGTCTATGACAGTACATATTTAGATATCAAACTTGCTGCATCGTTTGCTCTCCATCAGCTTCGATGACAGCACGTGGAGCCGTACAACCTATGTAAACAAAGGATCGCTACGCAAATCGAAATAGTGTTACATGTTTTGGGATATTTTCTCAGTGGAACTAAACCATTCTATTAAAGATGTTTAGTTAGATGTGTAGACTCGTCAAAAATAAAAGAGTGAAAGAAATCTGCACATCATATTGAATGGACATTGCAAGATGTGACGCATCGTCACATTTTTCTGGCCTGTGGCAGAGATACTATGCTGGCTTGCCGCATGGAACTCTGGGTAGTAGAGTGACTAGAGAGTGAACCTATTTTCTTACTGTCCTTGACACATGTTTCAGAAGTTATTTTGAAAAACACTAACTGTTCCCCAGCACTTGTACTGTGGCTAAGTCCAACTCACATGTCAGTGTCGATACCTAGCCGAGCTGCCTGGTTGTGTACATATTTAGCAAAGGATTCCAACAGCACAAAGTCGTAGCCCCTCATCCTCACATTCAGGGCTTCATACTCCGGGATGGCAGGGCCTGGTGTCTGAAGGTGGAAATATACATCACATTGGAGGAAACATGAAAACATCAATCCATTTCAAGTACAGGCCAGGCATTTTTCAACTCAATATCTGTCTTGTGAAACCATACATAAGTTTTTATCAAATATAAATTTAACATTAAAACTTGAGAGTGAGTGAGTATGGTTTTATGCCGCATTTAGCAATATTCCAGCAATATCACTGCGGGGGACACCAGAAATGGGCTTCACACATTGAACCCATGGAGGGAATCGAACATGGGTCTTCGGTGGGACGAACAAACACTTTAACCATTAGGCTACCCCTCTGTCCATTAAATCCTGTATTGTTTTGAATATTATAACCTTCTATGTGACTAAGTAAGATTAATCATGTTTTTTGTGATGTCACAGCTTGTCAGCATGACATTGGAAGAAAGCCCGAAATCTTAGACATTTACAACTTCAGTGAAACCCATGAGCATGGGCTGGTGCTGGCTAACCCAGAAACAACCAGGATTTGAACCCACATCTTCAGCTTTCTAACACCCACATGACTGGTGGTGCCTTAAACAACTGGGACACACATGCTCCCATTCAACATTCATGAAATCTCTATTTGGTATGTGGCCTTATTTCCAAAAGGACCTGTTTTTCCTCCTGCTCAAAGGTGAGTGAGTGAGTTATTAAATATCTATCAAAGGACTATAAAGTAAGTAATACTTGGCTATTAGAGGTGTGATGATACAGAAATTTCACGATACGATACATATCGCGATATCTTCGACCGATACGATTCGATGCATATCACGATATACTATCTTTGGTTATTTTCTTTCAAAAAGTATATTTTTATAGCAATAAAAGTGTAAATTTTGACATAACCGTCAATTTCTGGTGAAAATTAATAATTATAAGGTCAAGGATACATATCATGATACGAAACAAAGAATTGATATATTTATCGTCAGATAAAGTATCACGATTATCAATACTACAATATATCGTCACAGCTCTATTGTCTGTCTGTGTAATTATCCCATTATATAGTCTAGTGGTTAAACGAAGACAGGATGGATTCCCCACATGGGCACAATGTGTTAAGCCCATTTCTGGTGTCCCCTGCTGTGATATTGCTGGAATATTGCAAAAAGCGGCGTAAAACTAAACTCAGTCAGTCAGTCATATCTATGGAGTATGATTCTAGTTCACAATGCATTAATCCTAATCAATCTGCTACATTGTTGCTTATGACATAAAGTGCAATCATTTTTCTTCTTGAATTTTAACACCTAGAGTGCTGTGTTTGGTTAACAGTCTTATGCACCAACTTTTTAATGTCAACTTAAGGTAAGGCAAGATATGACAAGCAAATTATAGTAAGCAAATGTTGGCTAAACCTCTATGAAACAAATTAACTTGCTAACTAAAACAAAGACTTTTTTATTGATGTATCACATAATCAAAACTGTTACTAATGAAGTTCTTATCAGGGTCCTTACCAAGTTATCTGGTTCAAACATGCCAAGTAACTGTGGAGTGGAACTCAGGTTTCTACTGCAATGCAACAAAAAAATATGAAGCATGAAAGTTATAAGTTGATAAATGTGTTTCTCTATCCATGACAATATAAGTGTCAGTACACAGTCAACCTTTCAAACAGGGATTATTAGTCTGTCTCACAGTCCCTCAACCACATAATTGTTCCTTCCGCCCAACCCTTTGCAAAATGCAAAAGTGGTAAATAAAGTCTAAATTTTCCACAGGTTCTGAATCTCTCAGCAAACTGAGACTACTTTCCAATGTGAATAGAGTTATGTTTATCAAAACTATCTATGTTCAGAGACTAAGCTTTAGTATAAGCCCCATGTAAGAAAGTGAGGAATTGTCAAGAGTCTACAGTAATTATGGCATTCTTAAACAGCTTGATTGATGCACAACCAACTATAGTATCATGACTGCCATTTATGCAGATCTCATTTATTAGACTAGTTTGAATATATGAGCCCCCCATAAATTTTAAGTATTATCTTCTAATATTTTTATGTACAAAATTGATGACCCCCTACCTCCCCAGAGCAATATGGGTGAAAACCCCCCTCCCCCACTAAAATCATCATCATCAACAAACCACACCCACACACCCCCCGCCATAAATTATGAACAGTCCCTAAGGCAAGTATCCAGTATTTACTATAATCTTTAATGTCTTAAATATGTGTTCTTTTATGTGTAAACTCATAATGGATTGTGTTATTCCATTTTCTGCATAAAAACTCTGGTTCCACCTACCTGCCAAGAGTCTTTCTGCAATGCTGGCAAACATTCTGGGTGTGACAAAACTTAGCTTTGGCCACCAAAGTTCGCAGCACACCCTGAAATACAGAACATACTTGTAAGCTTTATATGCATATGTTGAATTATGAATGACTGACCTCAAGTTTTATCTGATCTCAGACTGAAAAATACAAAATAGAAACACTGACGTGACCCAGTCCCTCCTGGATTCTGTGATTCCGCGGTTGCAGAATAAATCGTGGAAAATACCTTTTCATGCAGAAAAACGTCTGGTCCATGGAAAATGCATTTTCATGCAGAATACATGCAAAAATTGCCATTTTTCTACTGCGGAATTTACTTACTTTGAAAGTTGAATCAAGATTGCCTATCAAACGAAACAATATTTTGTACAGTTTCTAATGTCATTCCTGATCAACCTTGGATGTCGGTCATTCTCCAACGTATCGGCACAACTCTTCCAATGGAATTAAAAACTTCACCATCAGTGATCCAATTCAAACGTCAGCTCAAGAGGTTCTTATTAAACTAGCACTTTGTGTTCCACCTGTGATACTCTGACAAGCACTCCGGGCATACATGTGTATGGAATTAAGCGCTATACAAGCAACCTTATTATTATTATTATTATCACACTCGTAAGATCATCTTTCTGAATAAAATAAAAACTTCCTGCATGAAAAAACGACCTGCCTGCTGTACCTCGAATGTCATGAAGCACTAAAAGATTTACAGGTTGTGTTTCAGAATTAAAGTTTGATATTCTGCATCATTTTTTTTGTTTTTTTTCAAGTATATTTAAGTGCAGAATCTTTTGCAGAATTTTGAAAATGGGATGCAGAATTTACTTAAATTTACCAGGGACTGTAGTTCAGCCAGCTAAACGTCTTGTGTACCTACCAAGGTATACACCGACCTTGGTAGGAACAATATGACGTTTAGCTGGCTAAACTAGAGGGACTGGTGGCCGAGAGCCAGGGACCGGCTGAAGGACAGTCAGGTTACAAGTTGCTGTCGCTAATAACTCTACTTTACACAGATCCACTTATTAATTTGATATGGAGCATAGTAAAAGTGGTTTAAGCTCTGCACTTAGTACTTTAAAAAATAACATGACAGCGGTATCAAGGAAGGCTTACCCCAAAAATACTTGACGGCATGTTTGCGATAATTTAGAGTAAATTTGAGTTATCGAACTTTGTTTTACGGACTGTTCATTAACCGACACAGTCCAAATTAGAACATATGCCTATAAATGCTGTATTTGATATAATTGAAATTCTAACTAAGTGATCACTAAATGTATACATATAATAGAATGTAACGACATGATGGTATTCAGCTTATATTAAAAGGGAAAATTGGTAATATATCAAAAATGACATTCCAGTTGTCCGGACTTTACTACTGGAACTCTTCATGGGAGATCGAACTTTCCGGGTCCGCTCATGCTGGTGTTTATGATTTTGCTGACTCTTGAAAGAACATAATGTTTTATCACGTACGTATTTATTTTCGTATTACTTCGATTATTGTTGGTATAAGTAAGAACCTGTGTGTGCCGACGATAGAAGGTCACCGCTGTAGTTTCACGATAGCAGCCTAAACATAAAAATACAGAAATGCAGTCTTCTATCGTACAATGGACAACCATTGCCCCATGGTATGGTTACCGGTATATTGCAAATGCTTCGGTAAGAGTTCCTCCCGTTCCACCATCCCAAATAATATGTATAAATATTCTAGAATTATTAACAAAACTTAACACAACAATTACTAGAGAACTCACTAAATGATTAAAAGTCCAAAATTTAAGTTAGGGCTAGGTTTAGAGTTTGGTTTAGAGTTGGGGGAACGGAAGGAACGGAATCTGTTCGCCACCAGGGTTAGGTTAGAGGCTTAGGGTTTTTTTTCACTTGTTAAAAGTTTTCATCATGTAAATGGAGTGTAATATGTATCGTATTGATGCCCTACTATTTAGACTGGCGGCGAAGTAGCCTAGTGCAGTAGTGGTTAAAATATTTGCTTGTCACACCAAACACTTGGGTTAGATTCCCCCACAATTGCAATGTGTGAAGAGCATTTGTTGTGTCCCTTGGTGATCATACTGATACGATTGGAATATTGCCAAAAGCAATGTACAGACTTGCTTGTTCTGTTGAGGTGTATATCATATCATGACAGTGTGTATTGTTACAGCTGGGGCTCTACACCCGTTCTCACTAATAAGGTGCAAACGCATTCTAAAAAAAGTGAAAAATTTACTTTTCTGTTGACTTGAATTGGTTTGGTTTTCACCACACCAATTCAATGTTGAAGATGCTGTGATGTTATGAATAAAAGGACCCATCTGGGTGAAACATTCTCTCAGATACCTACGTTACAGGTTTTCAATAACATCTTCATCAAATATATTATGTTTCCTATGTGCTTAAACCCGACTGGCGTTGAAGCTGTTTATATGTATTCACGGAAGAATTCGGTTATATTGTCTTCAAAAAAATCCTATCAATCAATCTTGGTAGATCACTAAAGCGACTTAATATGCTTTTCCCTGACATTTCAATCAATTCACACAAAAGAAGAGTGTTGTCTCTGATTAAAATTTAAGACATATCGACAGATTAATGGTTTATTGCCAGAAACAAAATACAACATGTTGTTTTTTAACATGGATCACTCACCAATCGATATAACTGTAACAATAATCAATACTTATTGTTCACATTTCTTTATTGCAACATGGGCATTCCAACACGTGTAGATCTAGCAGAGAGCCATGATGCGGTCCTATACATGTCTTGTACCTCATCGTACCTCATCGCAGCTCTCGGCTAGTGTAGATCTTGATCGTTTCAAAGAATCACAATGAATGACTAGACACTTGTTCTCACTAATGAGGTGCAATTGCTGTCCGCCCTGATCATATCAAATACTTATGAAAGTTGAATCGATATGCTACCATATTTTAGCAGGGTACAGCGAAGGCAACTTCTGACATTTCAGGATTCACTCAGAATTCATTTCGTATTTGACAGCAACTCCTCAAACACGTAAAACGATACCTACGTTACCTGTCCGCCCCTTTGGGTTAATGGAGATATTTTTATGACATTTATTTACTTTGAAATGATTTGTTTTCCATTTCAGGTTTCTCTAGAACATGAAATCTTGTTACATCCAAGATATTTTGGTCCAAATCTTCTCAACATTGTAAAACAGAAACTCTTCACAGAAGTAGAAGGAACATGTACAGGAAAGTATGTACCTCTACCATATTTTATAAAAGCTGTTTTAGTCCTTAGATGTGCCATTATGAAACAGTGTTAGGACAAGACCAATCATTGTTTGTAAACAGTATATGTATATCTTGTGTATCATTGAATGAAAAGACTGAGGGACATTCTGGAAAATCAGAAACTGTTTCAGTTTTGTCAAAAACAGGACAAAGGTAAGGAATTCTTTTTTTTGTTGAAATACAGTGTAAAATGTCGACCTTTCTACTATGCTCATGAACTCTCTATATTTCAGATATGGCTTCGTCATCGCAGTGACCACAATCGACAATATAGGAGCTGGGATGATCCAGCCCAGTGCAGGATTTGTCCTGTACCCCATTAAGTACAAAGCTATTGTGTTCCGTCCCTTCAAGGGGGAAGTGTTGGATGCTGTTGTAACACAGGTCAACAAGGTGAGTCAAACTGAAGTAAACAGGGTACATGTTGAGATAGGACTCATCCTGAGGATTTATTTGAGTGCAATAGACTACTTTTGTGATGTAACTCACTTCCTGTGAGGAGGTGGTGGGAAAATCTGATGGTTAACGCATTCAGTTATCACTCTGAAGACTCAAGTTCAATTCGACTCATGGGTGCATTGTGTGAAGCTCATTTCTAGGGGCCTTTGCAATGATATTGCGGAAATATTTCTAAAAGTGGTGTAAAACCATACTCACTCACTCTCTGAAACACACTTAGGCAAAAGGATTCTGGGTACCTGAACACTCATGGGAATGTATGTCAATTGTGAAACTACTTTCCAGTGTTTCAGTTGTAACTATGGTTCTGGTACACTCTATTTCAATAATAATACTTACATGTATTTTATATAGTTTAGCTGAGTCAGATAATCAGGCAGTTGGTTGAGCATGTTGAGACATTTCGTATAAAAGCAGAAAGTTGTAATTATTAATGTATGTTTATGGCATTTGATTGATGAAAGGTCAAACTTGTATACATTTTGTATCAATACATAACATGTGAGTGTTGCTTGTATCTGCAGAGTAATTAAATATATTGTTTCACCCAAGAGCATCTAGTCATTCTTCACTCTCAGATATGTACAACTGACATATGGTGATAAGAGGATTGTAGCTGTTTCTGAGCATGATGTATATGTTTATGTATAATGATCTGCTAAGTCGCCATGGTCACCACTTCTTAACAACATGGAATCCCTGTTTTTCAGGTTGGGCTCTTCACAGAAATTGGCCCCCTCTCCTGCTTCATCTCCAGACATGTGAGTTACAAGCAGTATCAGTTCCATGTCGTCTATATTCCCTGTATGAATGTAACATTTGATGACGATCTTGTGATGGATGCTAGTTTCATGAAACTTTGTCTCATTTCAGTCTATTCCCGCAGACATGGAGTTTGACCCCAATTCAAATCCTCCATGCTACAAGACAAAAGATGAGGTATGAAATAACTTGGTCAATGTGGCTGATCCTTGACATGTAACAAATATACATGGGAAGAGGGTTAGTAGTTATCTCCCTTTTAACACAATTATCTACAACTGAACAGTGGAGTACTTTAGCAATAGGATGGCAGTCAGTAAATAATCAAGTCTGAACCAAACAACCCAGTGGTTGATATCAAGAGCATCAATTCTGGCAATTATGACATGCAATCTATAAAAGCCATGATGGCTGACTGCCTGATCCATTTAGTCACCAGTTTAGTCTTCCAAAGATTTATTTTCTTACTTAGAATCCTTATTCCACTTATACCATTATTCACAAGTATCTGTAGACATTGATTCACCTGCTGCTTTGGTTCATCCATCCCAGGTTACCCCAAAGACCCTTGATGCCAGGTTTTGTTTTGTTTGAAAGACAGGATGCCATTATGATACGTGATGCAGCCTCTGTGGTGAACGACCCAGTCACTTACATGTTGTGTTCTTTTTAGGATATTGTGATCCAGCAAGATGATGAAATCAGAATCAAGATTGTGGGCACAAGAGTTGATGCAAAGGACATTGTGAGTACAATAAAACATGATGCTGTATTACCTAGACTTCCATAATTTTTAATAGGTTAGATAGATCCTATGCACTCAAAAGAAGTGTAGCTGAAACATGCTGTTGCAATGTTAAACTTTTGTCAAATCAAATCTTTATTTCTAGTACTGTGAGGCCACAGGCCTACGAGTACAGAAACACCTCGTCGGTGCAGTCATGAAATATAATGATAACAATGAAAGTGTGTACAGCATATACAATCTTAATATGACAAAATTGATTTCCTTTTTTGAATGCATAAAACAAATATTTAGCAGTATTCAAGGAAATGTCTACATTTTTGGATGATAACAACAAATTAAATTTTAGTATATTGGGGAAAACATAGAATTGCAGCAAAAGATATTTACGTCTTAATTCAATGTAGGCTGGACAGATAAGTAAGAAGTGATATTACTTTTGTCACCTATCCATGAGTATGATGACGAGCAAATGGTCTGCTTTGTTAACTGGGGTGGTGGGGTAGTCCAGTGGTTGAAGCGTTCACTGGTCATGCTGAGTTCGATTCTCCACATGGGTACAATGTGTGAAGCCCGTTTCTGGTGTCCCCCGTCGTGATATTGCTGGAATGGTGCTAACAGCGGTGTAAAACCAAACTGACTCACTCACTCAGTCACTGGTTTGGTAACTTGGTTGATGCCATGTCATCATGTTACCTGATGTTGTCAGATGACCACTGATTTGTCTGGCCTATACTCAGTTATAATATATATGTCTATATATGTTATATATACTCTGTCAATATGGCCAGTTAGGGGAGCTTGAATTTTGCTGCTTGTGAATAACAAATCATGGATGGCTTTCAAACAAAAGATTAATATGATTACAAGACAACAGTACCTGTTTAACTATACTGACTGTGAGTGAGTGCATGCATGGATGTGTATGTGTGTTACAGAGGTCTTTTCCCAAGTATTATCTACATCTTATACACATATCAAAGGATCTGTTCAGCATTGGCCATGGTTGAATATAATACGTATGTAATGAGACCGAGTGTGGTATTTTATGTATTACCGACGTCTTACATGCATTAAATTGACAAAATAGCGTATTTTTGTTATGTTTTTGGTTTCAAACCGAAACCGGTTTCATAAAGAGGTTGCGGAAGAGTTTTGTACTGTAGTACAATATTTGCAAGACGTCACACTGTAATGACGTCACTGCCTTGGTAACGACATCACGATGCATGTCAGTTGTCATCGCCTCGTACAGCCTCCTACAGTAAACTACTGTGTAGCACCTCGTTTCTTGGTTTCCAGTTGCTTCATTCGGCTAACATCACTGGTGGAAACATTGCGTTTATGATTTTTTTATAATGTCTCAGTTTGACTCACAAATAAACAGCGACACGGCAACGCAATGCATATAAGTTGTAGAATGAATGAATTCACGTGTTTGTTATGAATGAAAAAATAGTTACGTCAGAATGTGACCTAACTGAGAGGTCATCGGTTATCCAATCAAATCGTTAGAATCTCAGGTCAAGTCGTTACAACACAGGTCAACGCGATACGACACTCGTATGACATACGAGATTAGTATGCAACTACCCATACGTTGACCTCGTAGGTAATAAAGGTGAATAGTAAATATTTATGGCTTATAATATTTGTCTTTTCAGTTTGCAATTGGAACTCTGATGGATGATTACTTAGGTGAGTTTTAGTTGTCTGATATATGATAAACAAGAAATGATCTCCTCTTTGTTGATCTCAGAAGCTAAACTGCAAACCCATAAATATGGATGTCAAATATGGATTTTTAAATTTGTTTTAATGAATTTAGGGTGGAGGTCATCTGGGCAACATTATCTTTCAATAAAAAGGATATTTTTTTTCTGCAGTAATATACTATTAATGAGGAGGGAACTGTAGCCCTTGAACATCAACTCTAATTTTTGCAAAGTCAAATTGTTACCTCCCTTGCTACAGATATCTTCATCCAAAGTTCTCAGTATTTTTGGGCTATTGTCTTTATTGTTCTTTGTTTTGCAGGTCTGGTGAGCTGAGAAGTCATTTCAAGATCTGTTTCTGGTGTACATAGCAGGACTGTCAGAAGATGGGGTGGGGGTGTCATAACTAATTTCTTCATTCATGTTGCTGTAAACCTTGTGTCAGTTTAACAATTAACAATTACTGAATACATAGTATGTACAATGCATGGTTCTGTGTGTTTTATGGATCACAGTGACAGGTATGGGTATCCTTCATGTGAAGAACAAACAGATGATCTAATGGGATGGAGCCATCTCATTTTCATCTTCATCTCATCCTCAGTATTCTGTTGGACCATGTCTCCATTCTATTATGATATATATCCTCGACCCATTAGCCATCTTGCATTCATTTTGAGGCTGGATTAAAGATATGATGCTAAAAATATACATCCAATCAAATTACTCTTTTCTTCAATGGTTTAAAAAAAGCAGCCACATTATTAATAATTGATTTGACTTAAGTATGTCCTTGTAAGCACAACCTGAATGTCTTTAAGCACAACCCCCTGGTGTTTTGCTCTGAAAATTTTTTCCAGCAGAAACAAAACTGGCATGTAATTAACGATTTTGAATGTAGATCTGTGCAGAATTTTTATTAGATTTTGGTTTCAAGTCCATGAGTGGGACAAATGCTGTGCGAAGTTCATGAAACGAGAGATTTAGCTTGTGGCTTCTCACCCAAAACAAAACTTTGATGGCGATTGTGTCTTGACTGCTATTCATGATAGAATGGAGGCAGAATACATTTGATAATCAAGGATTAACTTACATGTCATACATTGTTCTCAACTATTTGTGTGTTCATGTTAAGGGTACATTAGTCGAAACTATCTGAGTACACTGTGCTACATTTTGTCCAGGATTCGTTCATTATCATCAGTCCATGTTGCCATTGGATCTGGCAGGATCTCAAATCTTTGCCAGCATTTTACATATTTCACCCTGTCATCACAACATTTTTTGAAAATAAAATATGTGGTAATTGTAAGTTGATTTCATTTCTTTCTGAAGACAGACACATCAGTACAATAATGTTCTTGGGTTTGTCATAATAGGTAACTCTGAAGTAGACAAATGTTATTTATGTCAGTGCAGGTGGGGGAGCTTCCAATCTGAAACCTTACCTCTTGACCATAAGTCCTGGGTTCATTTTAGGCATGGACGCAATGTGTCCTGTCCATTCTTTCTGTTTCCCACTCTAATATCACTTGAATAATGCTGATTTTGTAAAACAGAACCTGCATTACATTGTTCCCTGAGGACATCAGTATTGTCCACACGTGCTTATGATAGAATATGTTTGTTATTCAATATTCGGGCTAAAAATGAAACATACAACTTTATGGATGACAAGTTCTTGTTTATTGCTCCAAGCAATAAAGTTGTATGTTTCATTTTTAACCCGCCAACTTCTAGAATACCAATCAAACAATTTATATTCGGGCTGTCATGGAGTGATTTGTGAATAGTTGAAGTAATATGTCCAAACAACACATTATGACACTAGTGTATAGATTCTGTATGTCATAGTTTGATACCAATAGATGTGTCTTTAGTCACTGACTTGACTCCTTTTGATATTTCTACCGTGAAGGTTAGAATATTGATCTTCAGTAACCCGTGCTTGTCGTAAGAGGCGACTAACGGGATCGGGTGGTCAGGCTCACAGACGTGGTTGACACATGTCATTGGTACCCAATTACGCAGATCGATGTTCATGCTGTTGATCACTGGATTGTCTGGTCCAGACTCGATTATTTCCAGACCGCCGCCATATAGCTGGAATATTGCTGAGTGTGGCGTAAAACTAAACTCACTTTTGATATTTCCATACGATTCTTAACTTTTGTTTTAGAACATGTATTTAGTGCTAACATCTTCCAGTATTGGTGTAATTAAGAAATACAACTGTGTTTGAGATTTGATGTAGACTCACTGTAGTGTAGAAACCATTTATTTACATTTGGAACCGATCAGTTTGGTTGAAAAGCAATGCGAGTGGTGAGTCGCACCAACAGATGTCTTTTTCTTGGTCCATCCAGCCATTTTACCCTCGTCTGGGTTGGACGCTAATGTGCGAAAAATACTTTATAGGCTTTGATGTTTTATTTCCTGTAAACTGGTAACAATATAATGTGCTGTATGAAATTTTTCCCACTCTCTTCTAACATTTTGGTTTAGGTTTCAATGAGAGAATTAGGCGTAATATGTGCCCAAAATGTTACCACTTGTATGCATCTGATATTTCCCGTTAAGGTGTTGCATGTCACTCATTGTTTTCTAATCAATACACTAGCCCCGGTTAAGCCGGAAAAAACTTCACCAAAATGATCAGTAAGCATACCAAAGCGAACGATTGGTTAGCGAAACTATTTTATCGATACTTATGTATTCATACGCTCATTTTTTTAATGAAAAGTAGTATTCTACTTAAAAGAAGTTTAAGTAGGGATATGAATATCACTTTTCAACCTATCCGCATCAAGAATTCTTCTGTGTCATGGTCAAATGGGTTATTTACCCCTCTAAATGGAAGTGCCTCACACCATCCATTCACTCTGGAGATATAAGCCCCTAATTCACAGCCGCCTGGTTCGTTATTCTCTAATTAAACTTAGTAGTCATGGATCAATAGGTTTTGATTAATTCTTCCTTGGTTATTTATCGAAGTGGGTCGGTGGATTAGCCTAGTGGTAAAGGCGATGACCCAGGTTCCATTCCACACACACAATGTGTGAAGTCCATTTATGGTGTCCGACGCCGCGGGATGGTTAGAATAGTGCCAGAACCGAACCTAACTCACTATAAGAGATAGGGTAGCATGTTGCTGATCTCTCAGAGGCTGGGGGCGGTGTCGTAGCCTAGTGGTTAAAGCGTTGGCTCGTCACGCCGAAGACCTGGGTTCGATTCCCCACATAGGTACAATGGGGGAAGCCCATTTCTGCTGTCCCCCGCCTTGATGTTGCTGGAATATTGGTAAAAGCGGCGTAAAACCATACTCAATCACTCACTCTCAGAGACTGACAACCTGGTGTTGGGGCGCCTGATTCTTGTGTCAATTTTGTACACTTGTATGATGTACCCCGCAATGTGGCATGTGGGATGCCAATGAAACTGAATTTGATACGCAGATTCAAGATTTAAAACCATAATGTTTATGTTTTATATGTATTATTATTTCTGTATGTTAACTTCAAAATCGCAGCCCTTTCCTAAATGTTTTAAGATTTGTGTTAAGCAGTATCCGGGATCTCGGGGTTGGCATTGTGTCCAGCCTCGAGACTCGTTATATTGTATGGTCTTCACATCAAAACTGACTTTCATAAAGCATGGGCTACGAAAACTTGTTATTAAGAAAGGCATAGTTACTCCGGCAAAAATAATTACATTTTTAAGTACGACCGTAATTTTCGAATGATTGTTTTAAAGCACCAGCTGTTAAGCTCGACCTTGACCAATGTCTCTTATAAACATGCGGAAGCGTATCCCCGACTTTAATTTCTCTCACTCAAACTCCTCCTGTACCTTTTGACAACATTTGTTCCTTTTGAGGAGCATTTGAACGGACGAACGAACGTGAGGAGGGACAAACTCAGTTCCTGTATGCCCCTCCTCCCGTCAGATACCGGAGATAGATGGTATTTGGAAGTCAGGGTTGAGCGTGTTGTGGTGTCTTCCTAACTCCCGTTCAGATGTACCTGCCACCCAGTGATTACACACCTGAGCTGAAGATTACCACACATGCAGGAGTTTCCTTAAATTGATCGGGTTATAAGATCAAGTACAATATCATTAAAGTAGCGTCTCAGTTCTCGCTACCTCAAAACAAAGATTGAGGAGATCCCAACACAAGTCTTGTCAGGACAACTTTTCGCGAACCGTGACCGAATAACAACCGCAAGAAAACTAAGATACAATGACTCTACCTACGGCACTAGTTTCAAACTGGCGAAATCCCTGAAGATCCGGTCCTCTGCAAACCATGCTTGTCGTCGTAAGAGCCAACTAACGGAATCGGGTGGTCAGGCTCAGTGACTTGGTTGACACATGTCATCGAATCCAAATTGCGTAAATCCATGCTCATGATGTCAGTCTGGTTTGTCTCCAGACTCGATTATTTACAGACCGCCGTCATATAGCTGGAAAATTGCTGAGTGCTGCATTAAATTCAAAACAAAGAAACCTAAATCAAACTGGCGACTATGCTTTGAAAATATTCAAATTCTGGAATTGAACGAAACAATTTTCAGGAATCTAATAGATTGTCGTGATTGATTAGCAGTACTTCCCACGAGTTATTGAAAATCTCTCCCGTTTTAAATGTTTATCCAATTGAAGCGAGAGACAGACAGTGATTTTAGAGGAATCAGTCTTACTTCCCGTAACTGTCATTCGGAATACCTCGTTAAACTTTTTGAGGCTGCATGACTGGTAAACTCATTCCAACAGTCACTTTTCCGATCCGGTGGGCGACGCTCTGAATGGCCGGAAAACAGGTCGTTTTGACGTGACCTGTAATCGACGTCTTCGCATTTTAGTTCAGCGTTATATCGAGAACTATAAGGTCCGATCCCACAGACAAAATATACCATCATGGCTGCTCTCATCTGAGCGCCACCGTAACCTTACATTGTTGTTTGTCCAGCCTGGACTCGACTATATAAACTTTACTGTAAGGACAACTTTGAAAACAAAAGAATACTAATTAAAGCCGATATCAGCCTGGTTCCCTCGGTATGCGGCGCTGGCGCTTCACTTAGTGTAGCATACCCAGGGTTTTTGGATGGTTGGTTGTTTAACGCCACACTCAGCAATATTCCAGCTACTAGTATCTGTCGGCAGTGTGTAAATAATCGAGTCTCGACCACACAAACCAGTCATCAACAGCATTATAAGCGTTGATCTACGCATATTGGGATACGATGACATGCTTCAACCAAGTCAGCGAGCCTGACCACCCGATCGCGTTAGTCGCCTCTTACGACAGGCATAGGTTACTGAAGACCAATTCTAACCCGGATCTTCACGGGTTACATACCCAGGAAACAGGCTGAGCCGATATGTAGGCTCATACTGGGCTTATACTGCTTCCATTCCGCTTCGGAACTCTGAAGGACCAAAGTGAATCCGCGTTGACTTATGTTAACTCAGTTTAATCTTGACTGACCAGTGTTAACTCATGTTAAATTGATTTACGTCATATTCAGTTGACCAATCCTCTATATGGCAATCTGAAATAACCCGACTTTGATTACAGATTTGACTGGATGTATGCGAAAGGTGAATATATTTACATAGTCGTAGCTTGTGTATTGAAGGCAACTCGCTATTAATACCTGAATGTAAGTGACTTAGTTCTGTGTTCATTCGATCTCAACGCAACGCAGCCGTATGTGTGTGTCCTAGGTCTTGAATCTGTAAACCGACTTGTGTTTATACGAATGCAGGTAAATTGCTAGGGAAATGTTTTGACGTCTAAACCCGATTTATGAAAAATAAGGACGTTGTCGAAACGTTAACTATGCTGTTTACAGATGCTAAATTTAAGATGCAAAACACAATAATTATCATAAACGTATCATAAACATCAGCGTAAACTAACCATTCCGGTTTATTTCATATTCATACGCCTTTAAACATAGGCGTATTCTTTCTATCGCTCGGTGAATAAAATAATAGCGAGAATACTCTGAGTCATTAAATCACGCACTGTACAGGCGAAGTGGCCCTGTGTCTGAGAAGTAAGACTGTGACTTCTCTCTTTGGGCTATTAGAGAACATGGCGTTTTGAACGAATAAATACAACTTCTCATTTGTTCCAGTCTGTGTTTTTTAGAAAGGTTTAATGTTTAAGGAGAATTCTCTTTGAGAATCATTATAATCATTACCGCAGACACCTACGGGCTCAGGAACAGTCGCTTTCACAAGTCACTCATCCACGTTCACGATATTTTGGAGATAGAAGTACTGTCGGAAATAGAAAATAAA